GCAACTGCTTTCGTCTCTGAGCCATGTTGAACTGGTAGCTGCGTGGTTCATACGTGCAACCTTGGATTAGGACAAAGCCAATTTTGTTTAGGTTGTGACAGGAAATGACTCTGGTCGAGTTACTAGATAAGGCAGCAATCATTCCCGAGGTCATCTACGCAGTAGTTACGATTCAACGAAGCCACACAGCGATATATAACGTTTTGCAACATAACGTGACCGTAGAGGGCCATATGGCCCGTCAGGTCTGCAATGTGTTAAGTACTTACACATGAGCCACATTATAAATATTGACACACATATCTGTCTTGCAATAATCACATCCATGATGTACAAGCACTCAGAGTTCAAAGACATTTACTTAAATTAAATGTTGCCAGGTTAAAACTGCTTAGAAATCAGTTGCTAAAGGTTTGTTACAATTTACTGATACTGCATGTGACCTCAGAGACATATTAATTCCACACTTCCCTAAGTTATTTATTTGGTGTCACGTAAAATAAACTAAAAAATTATACATAATAGCATTCTCTTGTGTGCCACACAGAAAAATCTGGCAAGCCACAGCCTACAATTAGTTTGACACACCTTACTTCTAACAGTCATATCTTTTACACAAGTTGATGCAAAGATATGTAACAATCACCAACCTGTGTCCTTGTTATCATTTGTTGACCTGTACTTGCATCATCAGAGATAGATTCCTGCAGGCCATCCATGGATGATGAGACTGCCATATTCAAGAATGAATCGTTATCAAACGTAATCCCAGTCTAAATGAAGCAGATACATAGCAATTAGTTACCTTACCAAAACTGGACCATTCAGCAGTGAGGTATGTGCATTCCTATAACACTGATTGATGCCAGATCATAATGAAGACACATCTGCAGGAAGCAGTGAAAATGAAATGTTGACTTAGGAAACCTCCTACACAAATATTCAAAGCTCTACAATACTCCGACCACATCTCTTTAACATACACCCATATGATGTCACCTATCACTAAACTTAAAGAGTTCGGGTTCTCTCAATAATTGACAGACCCAGCACAAACACAATACAAAGTAAATTAAATGACTAATTCTTATTCTTGTTCTTAGGATTTTGTAACCTGTATTTAATGTACAACTTCAGCTTTTAGTGTTTACCCCATCAAATACTGAAGCTGTTCCAGTGTTCTGCCATAAATTGCATTCAGGAGGAATGAGGTAGAAGAGGAAGTGGCCCAATATCTAGGTCTCTGAGGGGGAATAATAATAGGGATGCGGACCATGGTACTTTCCAATGGAAAAGTGCTATGACCCAACACATAGGTCTCACTGTGGGAGTAGGGATGGGAATTAGAGTACGATGATATCCAGTGGGAAGGGACCATACCTGCTCTCACTGCAAGGCCTACATATTGGACCACATCAATTCCAATTAGGACTTCTCCCAAAAACTAAAGTTATATATTAAATTAAATTAAACCATGTTTAACTAACCTAACCTGTCTCTCAGATTTAATTTGTTAGAAAATATATTAAAATATGAGAAAAATATGTTTCAGATATAGAAGTATAGTATAGCTGATAATAAATAGCATGACATTTGGTTGAACAGATCAAAACAGCACAGAAAGCTTTCAGAGAAGGAATGTGCCCACTAGATGGAGTCTGGGAATATAATACCGTATTTACGCATGTATAGGCTGCGTGCGTGTATAGGCCGCAGCACAATTTTCAGACAGAAATTATAGAAAAAATAATTTTCTTGGAATATTATTTCAGGAGTAGAAATTATTCCGAAATTTGGCAACGTTAATTTTTTTTAAATGAAGTGTGATTTCGAATATTTCAAATATAAGCCACACCCCAGTTTTCCTCTTGAATTTTTGGCAAAAAATGTGCGGTTTATACATGCGTAAATACGGTATGTGCTTTGCATATGGAGCTATAAGTGTCACTCTATTTCACACCTGGTCAACAAGTTAGAGCACTATGAGAAAAAGAGGAATATTTAGTAGGTTCTCATATCGTAAAGATATATCACACATTTATTATTCAGGTTTCCCTCGTTAAGCCAAGCCCAATTGCAATAACAACCATCATTACGAATAAAGGCAGGTAATCTGCCTCAGAAATAGATTACACCTTGGAATGCTATAAAAATCAGAACCCGATAAAGAACTTCACAGACAGCTGCATGTTAAACAGTTCTCAAATGACCGTCAGACTTAGGGCATCAATTCAAAATTTAACACTAGTTGATACTCTTGTTTTATTCCTTACACCCAAAGCAAAATTATATCCAATACTTTTTTTTACTTTCTCAAAGCAAAAATCTATTATTACAATACTCTGCATATTTTAGTATAACTGTTCTTCATACACAGCTTCTCCTTATGACAACTCATTTAATCATAAAAGTGAAAGTTCTAGTAAACTATACAGGGCCAAAATGACAACCACTACTAAAAAGGAACACAAGGAACCTGCCCTAGAACCAGATTACTCCTTGGAATGCTATATGTAAGTACTATAAAAAGTCGTAACTTGATAATGACCTCCACAATCAGCTACATACTAAACAGTACTCAACTAAATGTCAGAGTTCGGATATGAAAGGAATACTTCATGATAGCAGATACCAGTACCTCAGTACAAAACAAACTTACTGATCTTATAAATATATTTCCATTAACAACAACAACAACAGTAACAGCAGCATAAGTATAAGCAACTGAGCACAGACTAACCTGCGAGAATTTATCCTGCAGCACTTGGTAAATATTCTGATATTTTGGAAACAGAAGGTTATTTTCAACAAGAGTTTGAAGAATGCAGTAGAGTGATACCTCACTGGCTGAATATAATGGTTCACGATCAATATGTTCAGATATAGCAGCTCCATCAAAAGTATTCCAATTCACAAACATTAAGAGTGTTTTCATATTGCGCTCCCTTAAATTAACATCGTAATTGATCCATCGGGTAATCAGACCTAGAATAGCATTCTGAGGAACAGTCCAGGCCTGAAAATGTTGCACAGAAATAGAATGTACATATGTGAAATAAATGAACTATTTATAACAAAAGAATTCTGAGAAGAGAATGGTTACAAAATCTAGACATAAAGCAAGCATAATTAAAACAAATATTCAGAATTTAACAAATGGTACCTTGTCAGAAAGAAATGCTTCAATTTTCGGTAATGAGCAAGTTAATATTTCATCCTGTAATATCACTTTGTTTAAATGCACTTGTACAAATAATGTTGCTGCCTTAGATAATGCAGGCATGTTGTACTTCTCTGCCATTTCTTTAACTGACAGACAATTTGTGATATCTAAGTATCTGTCCAAATATTCAGCACAATAGCTTTTAAGCTTCATTACAAGAAAGTGATTAGCAAGGCGTAACAATTCGGTAACATTATTTTTATCTATTACTACTGATCCAGTATACATATAATTAAGTAAACACTGGAATATATCAGAGTTCTGGCACGTAACTGTCAATCGCTCTTTAACTGTTCGATGCATTTTTAATATGGAATCAAAATATGGTGAGCAAGAAGCCAAAACATTTCTGTGTGCACGAAACTGCTTCCCTTCGACATACAAAGTCACATCACAAAATCTTCCTTGTTCCCTTTGTACCCTCAGTCTCTCCAACACAACATTTCCGTGCTGATTCTCAGTGAAGTTCATTGGATTATTTGGCAAAGCTGTTAAAGCCATTATGACCAAGTTACTCGATTTCCAGAATCATTTCAATTTCATCAAAACCATTTCCATAAACGAAATATTTAGCTTTGGCAAACGGAATACCTTACACCACCATGCCACAGTTTACGTCGTACGCAGGTATTTAATGTTACTCTTCATTCGCAAACCACCACTAAAACTGTTATAACTGTGCGAATACTTTTATATCTGCCAATAATAAGAGCAAATTCATTCATAATACTCGTGCGGCCAAAATCACCACAAACGTCAAAATTGACAGATACAGCATCATTATCGATCATTACGTCGAACCGATAATCGAAATTCTTGTTACTACCTTCATTCCAAATCCTGTCTGCTCCGGTCTGCTCTAACGCGTTCTGAACCCATACGGTGGAAACATGCGGAACTACTGCCATCTCTACGAATCGCATAGGAAATAGGTAGTCAGGAACTCAGGAACGGTAGCGGCTGGCAGCGGATGCCCAAGGAAAGTGGAGAAGTGTTTATGTGGAAGTGTACGTTACCGAATTGGATAGTTTTGTTTGAAGTGCTTATACATTCTGCTTGGAAGATACAGAATGTCGCATCAGACAGGAATACGTGGTAATTATGGGGTACAACGATTGCTTTGTTCTGCTGTGGGAACAATGCCATAATTTTGTTCGGTGTCAGTGTGAAACAGTTCACTGGAGATTACATGCAATATAACCTAAGTGGTCAAAAGGATCGACCATAATACGAGTAATAATTGGATTTGTTTCAGCCAACGATGTCCTCAAGAAGTTTTTTGGGAAATGCCGTGACGGAAATGTACGTGTATTTAAAGTATCCATCCTAAATGGTATGTATGTTTATTTCAAAATCACAGTTGAACGTAGGATGTACAATCTATAATTTACGTTTAATTTGCAGGGACATTGTTGAAAGTGCAGCTTCATGTAACGAACCCACATCCACGGAAATCACACAATACCACGCCGTACCGAATGTAGACTTCACTTACAACCGAACTGCTTCACACCATACCAAGGCTCTGCACACAACCACTGAATGCCGGAAAAAAGGATTGCGTTTTAACTAACTTAAAAAATTCATGAATTGTAACTAATTGCAACCAAGTTCTAGGACAACGAAGTAGTATAACAATCACACAGAAGTATCTATCCGACGCTCTTATAAAGTCGTAACATGATGTAAAAGTAACAATTATAAAAAGTGAGAACATAGCACACTAACAGTCTATGTGCACAAGAAGAAGTTGCACTTTCAAGACTGCCCCTGGAAATAATATTATTAACCAGTGCAACAGGATGCTAAAATATAATAATATGATTTCTTTTGATTCATATATACTTTCATTTTCCTCTGATAATCAATGACTGGTGGGAAAACATTACATGTGCACTTGGACATTCCACAGAATGTTTCAGCACAAATAATTAGGTTATGTATGACCGCCTCTTTTGTGTAGTGGTCAGCGTTTCTGGCTACAGATCCAGAGGATTCGGAGAAGTAGTGGGTCTGGAATGGGGTCCACTCAGCCTCATGATAATTGAGGAGTTATTTCAAGGATATAGTGGCTCCGGTCTAGAAAACCGAAATTAATGGCCCTGGGGATTCGTTGCACTGACCATGCGACACCCTCTATCCACAAAAGTTGGCACTAAATTTCGCCAATAAGCGGCAGTCACTCGGTCGGTATAGTTAGCTTGTGGACTGAAATCACGGAGTTAGTTAGTTATTGCCATCTTCATGTGTTCCTGTCATCATTAGCATTGCAGAAAGGTTTCAGATATCATGTATAATAGACTAAACAAAAGAAGGCTTGTGATATGAGTGGCATCAGATCAATAAACATCATTTATAGTGGAACAACCACTCACACAAGACACTTTTGTAATGGGAAAATGGTTGTTATGCTTGAAACGGTATCAAGCAAGTTGGGTGGGGAGGGGGTAGTGCTGTCAACCTTAACCATAATACGGTTCATTTAGGGAGTCATATGAAAATCATACACATATTACAGTTTGCACGGCACCATACGAGTCTTGGTAATTGCTTCAGACTCTCTTCATTGGAAGACAATAGTCTAAGATGCTTTCTAACAGTTTTAAAGTATATTTTTCCAATATGTGTATCAACCTTCTGTAGTCAGATAACAAACAGGAGTTGAAGAGAAATCTGTGCAGTGAAGAATCATTTGATTGCAGGATTTATGCTAACTGAATACAACAATTTTGTCTTCATAGGAAATGGATCTCCATTGTGTTCTTAGACAGAAGTACTCCTGTTGGGTGATTCTGTTCTGACTGGAAGTTACTGAATAGAACTAGTCCAACCAATTGGCAAATTTCTCTTAGATTTTGTCATATGGTTATAATAATGTGTTTATATAAAGTAAATCAGTTCTTTTATTTATATGAATGGTTTGAATGTTTTTCTGAAGTAATAAAGAGTAAAAATGTAATAAATGCATTTTCCATGGACAGAGGAACTTGCCTTGTCTTCATTCAAGGAAGCTTGTGGTACCTGGGAAGAAGATTATGACAGTTTGGTAACACCTTTAATTGAAGACGAACAGCCTTCGTACATCTTATACAGGTAATAAATCTGGCCACAATAATAATTTTGAACATATTTTGCCCTATTTGCCTGTCTTGCTAATGGAGAATTTTGTGTTTACAATTAATGCTGTCATGGTGCATAATTTTAGGAAATGTTTCTACCAGCCCTCTTTCATAGTAATGTCAAAGAAGTTGTGTGAAGGCAGTGAGTTTGGGCTAGTGTCTTGTAAAATAACATGGAATAGTTCCCTTTCATAGGTGACATTAGTTCAGTATCCACAGCTGTAAGTTGTATTTATTAAAATTCCATTCTAACATTATACACTGTGTCCATATGGACTTGAATGTTTTTGTCACTTGAACTCATTGAGGTTGCCAAGAAGAAAGTCTGTGAGTAATTTCTAAAATTTGTCTTCTTGAGCTCTTTTTCCATATGGACGTTCATTTTGTACCCTTTATCCTTCAGACTACTCCATAAACAAAAATCACATGGTGTAAGAAGAGGCAGATATGTTGGCCACACACCATTAGGCATTTTTCACAAAGCCTTCAGAGAAGTGTCTGCAATGTAGGCAGTTGCTGAATCCTGCTGAAATCACCCATACAGTGAAAAGTTTTGTCTTCTGGGTTTCCTGTATAGTCTGTTCAAAGTCAGCAGATGTTTCAGAGGAACATGTCCCCTCCATATTCATGGTTGAAGAGTAAAGAAAGCAAGAAATCAGCATGAAGCAGCAGCAGTCAGAGGACTTTTTTTAAAATGTAGGACTATATAGAAACAGAAGGGACCTTGAAAGCCAACCCATCAGTTCTTATTGGCTCTTTCAGAGAACCAGGGTGAACCAATAGAAGACAGGAAAAAATTAACTGGATATGGCCCTTTAAAGGGTCAGCTGGCACACATGGAAGCACAGGGGAAGTAACTTACAGGCATGTGTCATGGGCAGAGTACCAAGGAGGGTGGGAGAGAAGTTGTGTTCATGTTGTAGGCATTGCAGTTAGTGATAGTGGTAAGAGCAAAGGCAGTGTAGGAAGGAAAGGAAAGGCTTAGGGTTGATGGGTGCCCAGAGAGGGCAGGTTGGTACACTGACAAGACTGTACAGAGACCTACATGGGCCAGTGGAGAACCAAACTAGGGAATCCTGTGAGGGAGGCTTCCTTTGATTTTTCAGGGGGAAGGTGAAAGGTTAAATACATAAACAGATAATCATATGGAACATTAACACACATTATATACAAAAATACGTAAGATATTAATACAAGTTACAGATACACAAGTGTATAGAAACACTGAAACTACAAAACGAAAGCACAGCTATTTTCCTTAACAGTTTCAAATGCCTGATGACCAATGTTGGTCAAAACAAAAAAAAAAGTGTGATGCGGAGAAACCTTTGAATAAGTTTTAGAAAGATTTGTTGCATGTAAGATGGTTGAATCAGTGACTTGAATAATAAGTGAGTGCAACAGGATGCTACAGTATAATAATATATAAAACACTTTACAAGGGTAAAAACACCTGAGTGGTAAGAATGTCAGGCAGTGACTAAACTGAAAGTTGGGGGTTGACTCACAGTTAAAAGTGGGGAGGGGGAATGATGTGGCTTGATGACTGACTACAAATATGTTTACATTAGGTTCTTTTCAGGCTGCCCTGTGGACAGTTTGCAAACTGGTGAATAATTCCTCAACGTTAAGATGCCCCTCAGTTTTGCAACAGGAAAAAATTTGCATCTTATATTCAAAATAAATCAGTATTATGATAATTTTTAACATCTCTCTGTAGCTATCAAACTGAGTTTCAGCTCTGCAGCATTTCTTGAAACTTAAAATTGGGACTTGGGTTATCATACTAACATTATTCTTTCATTCTGTTTAATAAAAGATTAGATTCCAAGAATACATCAGGGTATGAATGGCTGCTGATTAGTTGGTCACCAGATAATTCTGCTGTACGACAGAAGATGTTGTATGCATCAACAAAAGCAACATTGAAACAGGAATTTGGAAGTGGGCAAATAAAAGAAGAGCTTCATGCAACTACACCTGTATGTAACATTAAATCAGATGTGTGTGAAGCATGTTCATTAGAATATATGACTAGTTTTTCCCCCTAATTTAGCATTTGAAAAATTATACCTTATAAACATGAACAAAGCAAATACACTGGGATTGGTGCCTACATAACCAGAAGTACAAAGCATTTACATGTTTTTAGTCCTGCACAGTTCATTCTGACATCAGAAGATTTCATTGTGATGATGGTTGATGAAAGATTAGTGTCATTAATTTAGACATGTTCCTAAGCATCATCTTACCCAAGTTGAATTTCATAATTTGGCAGGGGGCTATTAGAACTCATTCTTTCAACATGTTCTTGCCAACTTCCTGTAAGGTCCTAATAAAATCTCTTACTGTTAAAATTTGTAGCATCATCTAAAGCAGTGATTCTCAACCTTTTCTATTTTGGTCTCACCACTTGTTTTGTCATAGTGAAGACAGAACTTCTCTTTTCCCACAGAATGTAGTTTTACAGTTACTTACATTTTTGTGTTTCATAATCATTAAAAGAAGTTCATATTTATCAAGACCTTATATGCCACCAGTGGGTTGATAAACACTGGTCTAAAGCACAGATTAAGAAGAATTGTTTCAAAGAAGGAATTTCAGCTGGAACAGTATTTTAATTAAAGTTCTTATAGTAAAGCATAAGAGTTGCTGCATTCTGACCTAAAGCAAAATAGTGTTTACAGCCAAGATCAGTGAGGATATATGAATATGGACCTCACAGTAGTGTCTGCAATGTTAACTGAGTTGGAAAACAAAAAATCATTATTAATTAATCGTGACTATGAAAGCCTCTAATAGCATTTAATTTTAGGCATGTTTTATGACTTTTCAATACAGGATGATGTTACTTTGAGTGGTTTTCGCCGGCATAAACGAGCTGCTGGAGCACCAGCACCTCTTACTTCAGCAGAAGAAGAGCTTGCTGAATTGCGACGCAGTGAAGTCGGTGTTGGAGTTAGTATTGATTCCAGACAGACTCTCTCTGGTGTGGCATTTCCCCTGACTGATAATGCATGGAAAGCAATAGAAGGATTGGCTGCTCAGAAGTATGATTATGTCCAGCTGAGGATAGGTGATTAATTATAAACAGTTTTATAACGTTTCCTAGATAGGGTGTAAAAGTTGACTATTTAAGTTCAGTTTACTTGATTATTATAAAAGATCTACAGTCACTATATATGTGTTGTGTGTCAGTGTTTGTTAGCATAAAACTGGGTTAGCTGCATTGGCTGGGACATTGCTGGAAAGTGAAGTCACAGAAAGGCAAAAACATGTATTGAGTGGCTCATGTCAAAGACAATATACTTTACTCCTACAAGCCTTTCTGTAACAGAAAATCCTTGGATAACAGGAGTTTGATTCATGACAGAGGCAGGAACTGTCCTCTTTCCCATCATGTCCAGGTCCTATGAAGTGGATCCCAAAGGCTTATTCCCTGTGGGTAAAGAAGCCAGAGCAAGAAATGTGGAGTTTACTTGCTTCCCACTATATGCCTTCATGGTGTGGTGTTTGGCACCAGAATTAACTTTATACCCATATATAAAGAACTCGTTTAACACATTGCGGACCGGTGGTTTAAACATTTAAATCACCCTGGGGACCAGCGTTTTTAAACCTACTACCCTAACTTGTGCACTGTTCACTTTAAAAATTAATATAAAATCTCCTAATTAATTTTATGAACTGAAATTTTTGGAGAACACTTACCAGAGCTCCTAGAAGTGCTTGCGCGTGTGATATCTCTGGAAACATTCCCCTTTGTGAAGAGGCATTACGCAGAATTTGCACATGTAGGCAGTTCTACTCTTCTTCTTGTGCTCTGCGCACACACGACACTGCCTAGAAGGGTGTTTCCTCTTGCAATATTCACTCTTCACAATTTTCACGAGAATATATTTCTGCATATCACCCGAGAGTCGGGCAGGGGGGTCTACTTGAGGCCTCTGGCAGGTGCAAACAGATGGCCCCGGCTGCACTACGTCTGTGTCTGACGCAGGTACTGCCACCACTGTGACATCAGTAGCCCAAGCTTTTGCCAGTTTCAACAGAAATACTTTGTATTTCAAAGTAGAAATTCTGTTCACCTTTTTGAAAACCATAAATGAATTGAAAAGTGCACAGTTTATAAGCCACAGTGCAACTTTCTTCGTCCATTTTACTGTTTTCCTAGGAAGGGAATAATAGGCCAAGAACTGGTCGGCCCTATCAACTCCTTTCATGAACATATTATACTCGGAAATACAAAGAGGCTTCTTTACTTGCCCGTGTCGTCTTTGAACATCGACCATGCTCGAATTGTGAATAGTGGAAACCATATTCACAATGTGAGTATCCCTCCAGGACCGAAGAAGAATGTCCCCCTTCCGTCAAAGAAACTATCTCCAAAAAACAGTGACAAAACTTCAGACATGTCCGTTGAAAGTGCGAGTGTCGGGACAGTCATACCTACTTTCAAGGAAATTACATATTTGTGGTACAATTAGGGTAAACAGAGGCCTCCCTCCAGATCTGAAAGAGGAATGTAAACGCCTGAAACGTGACGACACCGCATTCAGGAGTNTCATTTACGGTTTTCAAAAAGGTGAACAGAAATTCTACTTTGAAATACAAAGCATTTCTGTTGAAACTGGCAAAAGCTTGGGCTACTGACGTCACGGTGGCGGCAGTACCTGCGTCAGACACAGACGTAGTGCAGCCGGGGCCATCTGTTCGCACCCGACGGAGGCCTCAAGCAGACCCCCTGGCCGACTCTCGGGTGATATGCAGAAACATATTCTCGTGAAAATTGTGAAGAGTGAATATTGCAAGAAGAAACACCCTTCTAGGCAGTGCTGTGTGTGCGCAGAGCACAAGAAGAAGAGTAGAACTGCCTAAATGTGCAACTTCTGCGTAATGCCTCTTCACAAAGGGGAATGTTTCCAGTGATATCACACGCGCAAGCACTTCTAGGAGCTCTGGTAAGTGTTCTCAGAAAATTTCAGTTCATAAAATTAATTAGGAGATTTTATATTAATTTTTAAAGTGAACATTGCACAAGTTAGGGGAGTAGGTTTAAAAACGCCGGTCCCCAGGGTGATTTAAATGTTTAAACCACCGGTCCGCAATGTGTTAACAGACTTGATCACTAGGCCACTCAGTACTTGGAGATGGGTATAAGATTTTGTGTACAGCAGACTGGAATCTTCTGCCATATGCAGTAGCTGGTTGTAACAACTTCCACCTTATGTAATCAGGGATAACAGAAGTTTTTAAAGGCCCTAACAGAAGGTGTTTTTAACAGCAAAGTTTGCTGCTTGAGATAGGTGCTTGGAACAAAACTTCTGTATATTATTTTTGTATTGATATGTGATACTGAAGACTTGGTGCAATAATATTAATAGTTAAGTTCTGCTGTAGTGTTGTAAGGTAAAGTTGTCCCTGTGCTTAACAAATTAAGCACTAACGCCATGAAGGCATATGGGGGAGTGCATATATACATCCACATTTTCTTGACCTCAGCACTAGCTGGAGGTGAGTGGTCAGCTTCATGCCCCTGCTGCTTTACCCCCAAGGAAAGAGCCCCCAGTATCCATTGGATAGGAGGTTGGGTGGACCCCAGAGCCAGTCTGGACAACATAAAGATGTGAAAATTCTTGCCCCCACTGGGACTCAAACTCCAACCCCTTGGTCATCCAGCCAATACCCAGTTGCTATACCAACTACACTATATTGTTGGGAACAAAATTACTGTAAAAGGTATTATGTGTCTTCCATCAGTTAACCCAGCATATGACACATCTGCTCATAGGCCAGCACCAACTGTGTTTCTACCTGATTTTTCAGTTCTGTACAAATATTTAATCTGAAGTGACACAACTTTATTAATTACAGATCTAAATGAAGAAAAAATCCATCTAGCAGATGCTGGAAATGTCAGCATTGATAAGCTGTCACAGAAGATTCCATTGGATTGTGCCCGGTATCATCTGTACAACTTTAAGCATACTCATGAAGGAGACTACTTAGAAACTGTTGGTATGTTCAGACATTTAACGTGTAACTTTGTGTAAAATTGATATGTTTTAGTTAATCTGTAAGTAGAATACAGATTTTGAGAGATCCTGAGAATAGGTATAACAAAACAGCTTAAAAAAATTAAATTGGGATAAACACCTTCAGTGACTGAAAAGATCATCAAACTGGACTCTACCAGAATGGTAAAAACATGCCAGGTGTAAGGAAAGGTGAGGAGTAGGGTCTAGAACAAGCAGTAAAAGTTAGAATTGTTAGAAGTAAAATGGAAAAACTGAAGATTATGAAATGAGATAGTGTCAGCTGTAAATGAATTTGCATACACCTAATGTGACCAAAATATTATTTTGTTCTCTCTCTCATACACATGTGCATGCCCTTCTTCACCTTTCTTTATGCACCCAGATCCACAGTAGCTGCAAATAGTATCACATGTTGACTAAGATCTGTTGTGGTAGAAGACATACTGGACTGCACATTTTATCAAATGTTATATCATGTTATTTTTGAAACAACTGGCATAAAGCAAGAAACTGTGATATTAATTCCTTCACACTTTCTTTACAGTGTTTATCTACTCCATGCCTGGCTATTCATGTTCAATCAAAGAACGAATGCTGTATTCAAGTTGCAAAGCACCTCTTCTAGATTCTATTGAAACACAAATTGGCCTACCAATCATTAAGAAGGTAGAGTATATTTCAGTAGTACTGTTAGTCCACTGTTAAATAAAACAGTGGACATTTTCAGATAATACCCATAAATTTTACATCGTGATTCTCCTGTCCAAGCTAAGTTTATATAAATTACTTTTGGTGTATAGGAATGAAAGATATGTGCTCTAACAGATTTCAAATGAGTAAATATAAATAACCATGCTTAGAATAAAACTCAGCTATGTAACTTATCTGTACATGTTCTCATTGAATCTGAATTGCATACTTTCTTCAGAGAGTGACACTGGAGGACAAAGCAATTCTAAGGGCTGAGTAACCATCAGGCATGAAACTCTCCTGATAGAGCTATGGCCATACACTGTTGTAGTCCCATTAGGCAGGAAGCTCTGAAATGTCAGATGAAATACTGCCTCACATGACAGTAGTGCATATTTATCTGCTCTCTGTGTTTGTGGGGTGCTGATGAAATGTGGAAGGTAATCCAGCCACGCGCTAGTCCGACACATCCACTAATCTGGCATCAGGCGCCAGACATACATACACAAACTTGTGTTCTACAGGCAGTAGAGGCTGACTTGTGTGCACTCGAGCTTCACAAACTGATTTATTTAGACCCTCACTAGTACACAGTACAGTCCTATACAGTACTTTTCATACAGTGGTGGATTTCATGTGTGCTGACAAACATAAACATAAAACTTTGAGTGCTAAAGCAGAGTAATTAATAAACTTGACAAAGGTGAAAAGCTTATTAATTTGGCTAAAGAGTATGGTGTTGGACATGCTACGATATACGATATCAGGAAAAATAGAGAGAAGACTGAGTGTTTTGTGAAAAATACCGACAGCAGCCGCAGTGGCAGGCACTCTTAACATCTGGTGAGTACCCTGCAGTTGATGCTCTTTACACTTGGTTATAACACACACATTATTTCTGGGGAAATTATTTGAGGGGAGGCAAGATAGTTTTACAACATGATCATGAAAAAAGTTGATTTCAGAGAAAGTGATGGATGGCTAGATAAATTTAAAAATCAGCTTGGAATCAGTTTTCTAACCATAATTAGAGAGAAATTATCTTGTTATGTCAAGGTTGTTGATCATTTTGTGAGGAAATTCCAAGAAAAAATTGAAGAGCTAGGTCTTCTGCCAGAGCAGATGTATAACACAGACAAAAGCAGTCTATTTTGGGGGCTCTTGCCCACAAAAACTTTTGTCCACCAAGCTGAAGAAAATGCAGCAGGGTGCAAAATGTCCAAAGATCAAATTGTGTTCATGCCTTGTTCAAATGCAAGTGGCACCCACAAACTTGGAATGCTGGTGATTGGTGAGGCAGCAAAGCCCAGAGCATTTAAAAACCAAAGTCTTCCAGTCCTATACAAAAGCCAAAGCCGGGGTTGGGTAAGACAAGAAGTGTTTACTGAATGGTTCCATGAAAGTTTTGAGCCATTAATAAAAACATTTCTTAAAAAGCAAAATGTACCAATTAAAGCATTATTAATTTTAGAAAATGCTCCAGGACACCCAAATGAAGAACAGGTAAAATCAAGAGATGGTTTGAATGAATGAATCTATAATGAGTGGCCCTTCTTGGCCCTTGCACCATGACCACAGTGATCTATTGTGCCTCCCCTCAAGAGATGGTTTAATACAGGTAATGTTCTTACCACCAAACTGAACACCACTTCTACAACCAGTGGATCAGAATGTTATACAGTTTGTGAAGTCATATTACAAAAACAACAACCTATGCAGTGTAATAAGCCAAAATGATATAATTTAATGTCTGAAATGAACAACCCTCAAAAAGATATTTTTAATCTTGCATATGCATGGCAAAATTTGCCTTCTAAAACCATAATTTCTTCTTGGAAAAAGTTGTAGCCTTAACATCCATTATCCTATGGCAGCAGTGAACTGACAGGGACCAGAAAAATCAGAAAATAATGGTGCAGTCCTAACTTATGATTTCCAAGAAGCAATAACCAAATTATGTGAAAAAGGCTCATCAGGTGCAGCAATTGCTGACATAAGTAATTGGATAGCTGGAGGTGAGGAGGAAAATTTTCAGATCATGACAGATGAAGAGATAATTGGTAAGGTGCTGGAAGACAACTACAGCAAGAATGAGCAAGAGTCAAGTACTCCACCAGTTATCTGCACAATACGACATGATGATGCCATGAGTGCCTTCAACACGTTATATATGGGCTGAAGAAAACGACATGCAAACTGAATACATCCTCCTGTTGAAAATATTGCAAGAAAAAGTTCTAAAAGAGGCATTTAGAAACAAAAGACAGAAACTTTTTTTGGGGGGGTAAAACGCAGTGAGATGAAGCCCTAATATTTAGTAAATGGACAGAAATTCACAGTACACATTTATGTATGTTAAATAAATTATAATAAATCCTGTTAAATGATAATCAATTATAAAACTTCTATGTTGTGCAGTACAACTTAATAAATTTGTTCTGACTTCTTCCAGTAATCTGTCATTTTCGGTAATCCGGCAGTACCTTGGTCTCATATATGTCAGATTACCAAAATTGTAGTGTCATATATTTACATGCATACAGGTTGCACACAAATTTATAGTGGAAAATTTGGATTCTGTGTAGCCATGAGTCAAGTTGTTAAAATCTATTGTATTTCACATCAGTCTGTCCCACTAATTGAAATTAACACTTTGTTCTTAATACAATATAATTTTCTAGTTGGAAATCGACTGTGGTGAAGAGCTAACAGAAGCATTTCTTCAAGATGAAATTCATCCGAAAAAGAACCTACACCGTCCTAAATTTGCAAAACCTAAAGGACCACCAAACCGAGGAGCCAAACGCCTGACAAGACCCCAGGAAAGTACAGGAAATGTATAACAAACTAGTCAGTAATAAGTGAATGTTTTAAGTAAGAAGAAGAAATAAATAAAAGTGAAGATACATTTACAAGATAGCCAAGACAAATTGACAGTATACTGTGGTTGAGGTTTTTAAATTATTATGTAAATGAAACAATTTTTCAAGAGACAAATATGATCAGTATATTTAATAACCTTATTTTGTTGGTGTGTTGAACTTCATCGTGTAAAACAGAAGTATCACTTCCATCTTGTTTTACTAATATATATATATATGTATAGTCTTGTATATTTGCATGCTTCAGTCTCTAGCTACCAGCAAATGACAGGTTACCGTTCACTGAATCCTACCACTTAATCCCTATACGAGTCCAGACTTGCTCTGTAACAGCAATAAAAGCAAACTTATGTCAATTGTAAGAGGAACTGAAAATGCTCTCCCTGTATCATGTACACACGTTTCATCTTGTAAACATACTATTGGATTTCAGCATCCTGCTGCGTTGATGTATCACTACATATTCACTTCCTTCTTTAATGCAACTCTTCACAATCTCTCCTTAATTTAAAATCACAATCAACTGCTACATGTTTCAGCCTTTTTTTTTATTGCTAGTGTACTAAGTCCCTTGTACCGCAGCCACTTCCGGCCTATTGTACCAACCCCAGATGATAGGTGAGGGTGATTGTGGAGCAATTGGTGGAATGAAGATTGGCAGGGGAAACCAAAGTACTTGGAGAAAACCTGCCCCAGCACCACTTTGTCCACCACAAATCCCACTTTACCAGACCCAGGATCGAATCCAGGCCACCACAGTGGGAAGCCAGCGACTAACCGCTTGATCTATGGAGTGGTCTATGATTCGGCCTTACTTGGCCATCCTCAGGCAACTGTTCACTTTGCAAAACCACCACATTGCACTAGTTCTTAAGTCAGAATATTTATTGCTATTGCATTTTCATCATTCACACTAAAATACATTTGTTTGAGAACATAACTCTTTATCTTTACCTGCACTATTTTCCTCTCATGGCATCCATGTTTTTTGTGTTGTTTTATTGGCCCTGTGAACATCAGCATGGTGGGTACATACATACTAATGGGGCAAATAAAAATAACATGCCACTGTTCATAGGGCTAAATAAAATAATACAAAAAATACAGATGCCACAAGGGGAAAATAGCACAGGAAAGGATAAAGAATTATGTTCTCAAATGTATTTTAGTGTGAAAGATCAAAATGCAATGGCATTGAAATATTTTGACTTGAGAACTAGTGCAGTGTGACTGTTTCAAAAAATGAACAGTTGGCTGAGGATGGCCAAGTAAGGCTGAAAAATGTAGCAGTTGATAGTGATTTTAATATTATTTTAAATTAAGGAAAGACTGTGCATAGTTGCATTAAAGATGGAAGTGAATTTGTAGAGTCTTGTAAACATATTTAAATAGACATACAGAAAATTATTTAGTAATTTCTAACATTTAATCTTGTATGACTGAAGTTTAAATGGTTTGGTTGCTTTTTGTGTGGATTATTTTGAAATGCCAGTCTTCTGCAAAACGCCTTAATGATTGTTGTTCTGAATATTCTCTTGGGTTCAAATCCCACTCAGAGCATGGATATTTAGTATTTGTATGTGTGCGTTTTTCTGTGTTTGTGTACAGGTAGAGGCCTTGCGATGAGCTGATCACCCACCCAAGGTGTCCTACCGAATGTCTAAGATCTGGTAAACCAAATTGAAATGGAGAGTTTCATGGAGGTAGGCGAAGGTCCAAATTTGGGCTGTAGCGCCAAAATAAGAAAAAAGAAAAGAGGGCAGAGCGTTCATTTAATGAGTTTATCTATAAGTAACCCAGAAGACATGCCTTAATAATTATAATTGTGAATGCCTTTTGTGCTTGAAATTCGGATCCCAGGAAGCTGTGGCAAAATTTTCTGTGACACAGTCTAGGTGAAACCAAAACTGAATGCCTATTTCAGCATTATATACTAAGAGCCCTGAGCCTGAGTCATTCTAGATTCATATTAGGATGAATCTCAACTTATTTAAATGAAATGCAGTGAGTGAGTGAGTGAGTGAGCATATGCAGCAACAGCAGCATTTTCAGCACCTCCCATGATCTTAGGCAGGTTGCTTTTATTGTTCTTATGAAATGATTCTAGGCTTGTATCAGGATGAACTGGTGTGTCTCAGCTGAAGGTAGGCTGTCACTTGTCAGTAACTGGAAAATGGTATCAGCCTGTAAATATATAAGAAGACAATCTGCACATCTGACCCTGACAAAAGAAGAAATGTATTTACCTGCTTATAGGTTGTCCTCAAATATGACTGGACCCATATTTTATCAAAGAAATTTGGTATGAGAATGCTGTGTGTGTAATGTATGTCTTCCAAAAGCCCTTCTTTTGAGTTAATGTGATTAAAGTGCATACTGTCATTCAGATAGAAGGAACAGAGCAGTGGTAAGGAAGTTTGATGTTGGTGAAAAACTAGAAGCTGTTCCCAGTAAGACAAGTTATTCTTTGCATCTGTATTCCATTTCACATTTTTTATTAATGTGTTTGGTTCATAATTACCTTTATTTTCTATTGCAGACATAATCATGTAAAAGCCTCATATGTTTACTGTGACAACCTACTGTATGGGCCTAAAGTATTTTGAAAGGTTCATTCAGCAAAGTATGTTTTAAGGAGAAGTATGATTTGAAACTGATTTTGCATATTCTGTTGAGCTTTTTTTGGTCTTTTGCTTTGAACCCTCTAATTCCTACATCTCTGTTTATGGGTGTAACACTGATTACAGAAACTAACAAACCATGTTTTCATTCAAGTGTCACATGTAACGTTCATCCAGGTTGCACTCCCATTTGAAACTGAAAATCTGGAGTGAAAAGTGGAACATGTATGTATATAGGTAAATATATTACATCAAGTAATTGATTATACATACACCTAAAACATTACTCTCCCAACATTCTATACTGCAGAATCCAGATTGTAAAAACTGTAGTTGTCATTTGTCACTACACAAGCTAATATGCTCCTTATTTCCAGCTATTTCTATATTGCAGTTCTCATGTTTTTCTGTTATGTCTACATTCAAATTAAAACAATAATTCCTAAAGTAATTCCAATGTAAATGCTTTACTATACAGTAGCTCATACTGCTGTATGACTGACTGACTGTTAGAGGAAAACTGTTGATACTGTTATTACATGTAAGAGAAAAATGCAGGTGGCCTAATTACATATACCATTATACTGTATTACTCCACTGTACAATAATTATTGTGCTTGCCAGGAATCACTGAAAAATCTGTTCTTACCAGTTAATACAGTTTCCTTTATTTCAGTATAAATAATTCATGCATATGAAGAAAGTCATCTTCTGGAATCTGGCGCCATGTATTCTTGGTTTTAACCGAAGTTTCGGAGGAACGTATCGCCTCCATCTTCAGGGCAGGTGAATCACGATGCAAATACAGAGAGCAGTAGCTGCAATGATTTGGGAGTGAAGATGCTAGTTTATATAGGAAGCAGGAAGGGGGGGGTCTGGGAGAGGGGACCAATGGGAACAGTGAACAGCGATTAAGGCCATATATGGTCTGGGGGGAACCGGTCAGTGAATCCAGGCAACTTGGAGGTCAATGGCACGGAGGTAGCGGGTAAACAAGAACAACGGTTTGCTGGGGACAGGCTACTGGCGGTCAATGACATGAAGAACTAGGGTGGCTGTGTGGGGTTCTCTTGAGGGAAGAGATGAGAGGTTTCCATGACTTGTTGAGACAAAACCCTGTTTCCCTGTTCATGTTGTTCGGATGGAGCTCGATCTCAATGGCCTCCATGATGATGCGATCCAGGTAACAGCTCTTACAGGCGAGTATGTCCCAGAAAACGACTTTCTTCATAGTCATCGCCGTGAAAACCTCAAAAATTACAATTCATGCATATATTTGTAAAATGAAGGTTTAGTGATTGCCTTTTAAAAATACAGCAAACTGGAAAGGAAAATGACATGGTTTCAATTATAATACATACTTCCATCAGAAACCTTTCTTAACATATGTATAGGATTATACAGAGCATCAGAATTTCATTTAGCCCTTTTTATATGCCATATTTTATGTAGTTACCTTTGTTATAATGGAAAAACTCATCACTGGAGCATAAAAAATATTCTGACAATATATGTACTCAATAACAGCCAATAGTGAATATTAATACAGTATTTGCAAAATTAATAATTTAAAGTTAATTTTATTTTTCCCCCATCTTGCATGTGCATCATCATCTTTCACGGCATACTGAAATAAAATTATATTCACTTTAGTTTGCATACCATTTTACATTATACTGTATTCAACATAAAACTGTCAAATTGTAACAGCTACAAACATGATATTTTTTTTCAATAACCAGACATTTTCAACCCTCACAGGGTCATCTTCAGGGGTACATCTTATTATTAAATTAGCATAAAATCTGCTCTTTGTTTGTAATATAGTTGCTTTCCTTACCAATTTCATAGTACAGGTATCTGTCAATTCACAAAGGTAATTCAGTCCATGAAAATTCGTAAATCGAAAATGGACTTCCCACTAGCTTACATACAAGAGTTATGTAAAAAATATATTTACAAATAATGCTCTTCATTGTTGCAAAAATTCATAAAATGAGGGATAACTGTATATAGTTGCTAACACATTAAGGAGTAACACCCTACCACCATATTCATTGCTAATCGAAGTCCAGTCATTATGTACTTGGTTTTGTTAGAAAAAGTGCATGACAAATAAACACTTTCCTGTCTCTGGCATGGAACTACACTAGTAATCTCTTATATTTTTATGAAACATTACAACTGTCAACTGAAGCACTTAATCAGTACCACATGGTTCCTAGTAATGATCCCGTTGTCATGACCCAAATACTTCTATGATGGAGGAGGTAATGGAGAAATAAGCTGGCATGGACTGAAACCCATGAATATAGTAGCAAAATTAACAGTTTTCCCAGAGCTGTCTCCAAAATGATCATCATTTATGTTCACTTTTTTTCTGTGATGCATGATGTGTAAGAAATGGTGGGACAGATGGATGGTCCCACTGTTGTCAGTCCCAATGCTTTTCTTACAAAGGAAATAATGGGAAAGTATATTGACTTGCATTGAACCCCGTGCACAACTTCTCCAGGGAAGTCCTCTACCATCTACCATATATGATCAACATAGGTGCAGTGATGTTGAAGTAGGTAAAGAACACAGACATGTTCTTCCTTGCATGAGAGATCATGCAAGGAAAAATAATCTGTTCTTCACACACAGTTTACATGATACAGCAACCATTGCCTGAGCTACTCTTCTTCAGTAATTTCTTTGACTCATTGCTTTACCTATACTGCACTCTATTTTTCTTTGTGTGGAATATTTTCTATATTTGATTTTTCACATGTTTCTATTCCATCATTTTTTTTCTACAGTTCTGTTCATGGGCTGCATTTTGATAATCACCATTGCATTTACACTTTTATGTATCATAATTCATGTGAAATGTACTTATATTCTCATATTAACAATTTACACAAGTATACTAACTGCATACTATGCACTATATCATATAGTGTTAGTGTCAGTTGTTACCTGATAACTGTTAACATATGTTCTCTTGTTTTGTTCATGCACAGTTCTTTACTTAAATACGCATGGTAGTTCCTCCTTTCACAATCATATATTCTCAGCTAGTGCCAGTGTTGGGTGATCATTCTTGTTTTCACTGTTGTACGCTTTTCACTAGTGGTAGTGTTGAAATCTCTGCTGGAGGAGGAATGCACAGTATTTTTATACCACACAGAAAACACTAGAATCTGTGAAATTTTAAACCATGCTACCAGTGTTGTTTAAAAATGGTTGTTCCAAATCTAACTCCATGATACACTATCTTCCTTGAACAGTTTAGATTCAGTCAGCTGATAACTAAATCTCCTACATACTGTAAGCCTACAATGAATCCTAAGTGAGGCAGCTACATCTCACTTCCATTTTCACAATCCCTTCCTCTAAGATGCAGTTCAATATTACCTACCACACCCAGATCCCCAACAAAACGTTTATATAGTAATTCTTGTTTTCCTCATGAATAGTACATATTCTATGTATCTCATTCTTCATTTAATTGGCAAAACAGTTTCAGCTGAAGAATACAATCACAAAGCCTCTTCGTATGTATGTTTTACGTTCCTATTATTTTATCTTACAGGTCCAATTATTACCCATAGCACTTTGTTTCCAAAAACCCTTATTAAGAAACAAAGTTTCTGTTCTTACAAAACCATGAGAAGATTATGGCTTTATACATTGTTATCTTCAGTTTATTCAGAATGATATGAGACAATCTCCCAATTCTACATGCACTGAATGCACAGATACACAGACCCAATCATTTGTGACAAGGTAAAATGAAAGATGGAGGCTCAAAGATTAGACATGATATTGTAACTAATAAAGACACCAACATTACACTCAAATAATAATGTTCAGGAGATCTGATATTTGAAGTTCTCACAGCAGTGCACATTAAAATTACAGGCTTCTGGGATATGATGCTGTGTATTTTGGGAGATAGATACCAGAAGAATTTTCCTAGAGATGAAATCAGAAGGTTCTCTGAAAAAGGATATACAGGGTGTTTCATGACTTTAGGGCATAACTGCAGGGGGTGATTTCCTAGGTCTTTGTGATCAAAAAAGTTCATATAAACATGTGTCCCATTTTGGATGGTTACGGAGTTATGACCGTTTTTTCATTCCCGTACATGCCCTTGTGTGAACCACGTCTATCATCTGGCGGGTCGCTATTTCTAGCAAGGTACAGACAGAGCGTTCGCGTTATTTTGACACTTGAGAGGTACCTAAGGCGTGGTGGGTTGGTAAGTCCGGCCACGGCTAGTGTGGCGGCTACTGGTGTTCAGAACCCCCCAAGAAAATAACACAAAATAATCTTATAAACAAAATACTGGCATACTCAGCAAGAAAAAATAAAGCAAAACCACCCGCACCATACTCAATATTAACACCGGACACCAACTCAGACTCACCCTCAGCAAAATCAAAAGTTCAGAACAGTTCTCATCTTGGTGCGTCTGTTACGTTCACGATGCCATTTACATTTTCATTTGAGGAGTATGCAGACACGATTTATGTGTACGGGTTTTGTGACGGTAACTCAGTTCTTGCTGTAGCTGAATATCAGCAACGGTTTCCGAATCGTAGAATACCGAACCGGAGAGTGTTTACTGGAGTTTACCAGGCATTGCGAGATACCGGTAGGCTTCCTGGTGTTCATATTGCAGCTAAGCGTGGTCACACTGCACTCAATATTAATATTTAAACTCCAGATTTCCAAGTGTTCATTGCTCTGTTGTCAGAGTACCTTGAAGACAGTGAGAGTTGTAATTTCAACAAATTCAACAAGCCAGCCCAATATAATACACAGTCACAACTAAATCAATCTGACTGAAGTCACTTCACTCCCCAAATTTGCAAATGTTCAAATTGGTGACAAAATAGCTTATAAAATTTGGTGATATTTCTGGGATTTAGAAAAACATAACAGCAGTATTTTATTATGCTTGAGTGTACAATACAGTATGTATTCTTTTCCTGAAAATAATAACTTATCTAACAGACCTTTGTTCTGGTTCTGTGTACCTCATTCTTCATTTCATTACCCTACCAATTTCAGACAAAGAGTACAGACTGTTCAGTCTTCTTAGTATATAATTTTCTCTATTCCCAATGTTTGAACTTGTTGGTCCAATTATTCTCATCACTTTCTTTCCAAACACCCTTAATAAGAAACAGTTTCCACTCTTACAAAATAACAGGTGTTTTTTTACACTTCTATCTTTACTATCTAAAGAATGTCCACAGCAGATCTGAGTTCTTATTTATGGTTATTACACAATTTAAAATAAATGCTGCTCCCAGATTTCATTATGTTATTAAACTATAAATACCTGACAGTAATTGCAAACACAGTATCAATAATATATTTTCGGTAGCTATTCAAACCTGTGCCAGTCACGGTAGCCAAGTGGTCTAAGGCATGTACTGTCTTCGCTTGCTTGGAAACCGGAATCATTGGTTCGAATCCCACCCAGGACATGGATGTTTAGTTTGTGTGTGTGCGTTTTTCTGTGTTTGTGTACAGGTAGAGGCCTTGCGATGAGCTGATCACCCGCCCAAGGAGACGTACCGAATGTGTAAAATCTAGAAAAACCGAAGTGAATGGAGAAGTTCATGGAGGTAGGCCTAGGCCCACTGGGGCTGTAGTGCCAAGGAAAACAAAAATTCAAACCTGTATTTAAGTTCCTAGGATTGTATGTAAAAAATTCACAGTAAAAGTAATCATATAAGTTATTATCCAAGAGCATTAAGAAATTGCGGTTATCAATACAAATGGGAATTCATATACAAATTAGAACATTACAAAACGTTAATTAATTCCATCCAGTCACACTGGATGAAATTAATTAACATTTTTTAATATTGTCAGCATGACGGACCAGAATGAAACAAATCAAAATTAGAACATATTATAACTTTTGACAGTTCTCATGATACTTAATAACACTGTTCCACTGTGGAGGTTATACAGTGTTAAATGAGATAGGAAGATTGTCATGAATGGTAAATACTTAAGGATTTGGAAGGAAGCAGTCATGATAACACTGAAGGCAGTATCCCAGCATTTACCCAGAACAGACTGACAAACCCAATAAAACCTCAGGATAGCTGGTCACATACTAATATTCAAATAAGGTACCTCTTGAATACAAGCATCACTATTGGACCCACCTGTCTGATACTGAAACTGAATTTATTATTCCACTAGCACATTATGACTGTGTAGCTGTAGGGGAATCAGCTGTGTCCAGTGATTCCAGACTTATTCCATGAGGACCAACTCTTTCGTCATGATGGGCAAGAAGAGCATTACTTTCATCGTCTTTGCCACTTTTTAAAAAATGTCTGAAAATAATGGCAATAATAATAATACTGATTTACTAACAACTGTGATGAAACACCACAAACACTGATTCAACATATTCATCATAACCTGTGACAATCTGTCAATTTCTTTCGAGATTTGCCACAACTCAACATTTAATTGCTACTTACCTAGTTCGGTCCTCCTTCCACTGATACTGCCAATATCGAACTTCCTCCATAGTCATTCCACTGAATTTTAAAATACTTAAAGAAACAAGTCCCGCTATTCCACCTAAAAAACTGCCTGCAACACAATCTTTCCCATTAATTATTCAGGTGTAAATACTTTTACAGCGCCAAAAAATATAAGGTAACACTTACAGAATAAAATTGCGCAACAAACTGGCAAACTACTTCCAGAGAAATAGACAAAAAAAATAAACTTGTAAAAAAAAGTCAGAATTATTCACATAATCTTCACACCCACATTTCTGGATATAAATTTTAAATACAATTCGATCACAAACTTCACATTGCAGATGGAAGTGGTGGCCTCTAGATGGAGGAATGATTCATATATGCTGACCAAACAGTCAGTGTCAGACAAGACATGATTCTCCAGCTTGAAGGCAGGGCAATAACCACAAAAAAATCAATTTACTATGAACTTACCAGAAAGTCTCTAAATCTGGTCAGTTCTTTGGCATAAGCCACACAATGGAAAAGAGGATGTGTACCGTCACTAACAGCCTAATGATTTTCATTCCCACTGGAACAGTAATAACTATTTTTATTGAAATAATTAATTAAGTTTAAACAACCTGTTAAGCTAGGAAATCATCACTGAATGTGCAGCTCTACTTCGATTGAATGCTTCATGATAAGGTATACTGAAGAGGGTTTTTGAGGCCAAGGTAATGAACTTACCAAAATTTCTTGAATTGCTGAGGGTACCCTATCTATTATGGATTAGGCAGTTTTTAAATGTTGATAAAGAAGAAAATTATACCCTCATTGGGTCTCAAAAAACTTAACAATCAATTAGGCATTTCCTAAAACTTGGGGGCCAGAATACGAGTGGTTATAAAATAATCATACTGGCAATTTTCACAGAAACTTTGAATAGTTACCTCTGCAACTCAAGATTGTTATACAAATGGTGTCTCATTATTATGTGCCATATTTTACAGGATGCTTTCTGGTCATCAAAACAGGTAAAGAAGTTCACATGGATATGTACCCTGAAGACCTTCCTTAAGAAGTTACAACCATTAGAAAATGTTAGCTCCTGCTGTTACCTACTGGAAAATAGACATTCTGAGAGCATTTGGTTATGTGTCACATAGTGATTATAGAGATTCAGATGATATAAGACTTGTTTATAAATGGGCTGGAGTAGGCCTGCACACTCATAACTTGAATCCTCTCAATTTTCTCTCTGGGGATATCTGAAAACCAAGGTCTGTACCAGCAAGGTTGACACTACAGAGGAACTGTGACACTGAAAGCAACAGCTTCTGAAATTGAATTAAGGAATACACCAGGAATCTTTGAACACTTAAAAGAGTTTTTCATACAGAGCAGACTTGTGTGTCTGTCAACATGGACACCACTTGGAGCAACTTTTGTAAGAAAGCGTAAATAAAGAGGTTACTAATAGCTCTTTTGTTTGTTTTCTTACACAAAACCCATTCAATTCAGGAAGCACTTACAGTGTCACCAAGGAAACTGAAATTAGAATAGGTGTACTTTTTAAGGTAAGGGAAGGTAAAGCTGTCTCTATGCTTAATTAATTAAGCTCCACACCATGAAGATGTGTAAGAAAGTGGAAGTAAAGCTCCACCATACTTGACTGCGGCACCAGATGGAGGTGACTGGTCAGCTTCACACCCTGGCCACTTTACCTCTGGAGAGAAAGCCTCCAGTACCCATTGGATACTAGGCTGAGTGGACCCCAGAACATCTGAACACTGCGAAGTAAAGAGTCCACTGCCGGGAATCAAACCCTGACAAATCCAGCCCATAGCCCATTGCTATACTGGCTCCTTTTTAAGGCCCTCAGGGTACATAATCATATGAGCTTTTTATTTATTTTGATGTCTAGAAACCATTCTGTAAAATATGGCATGTAATGACACATCCTGTATAATATCTTTTTCACTTCTTGTTAAAATCCAATCGCATGTACAAAGCATCATTCTGCATTTCTTTGTGGTCAGTGTGTAATTAAGACAACCTCTCAAAGGCACATGCATACTTGGGGTGACTGACTTCAAATCACTGGATATGCCAAGAAAAATGTCCATAATAATGAATATAGAAACACTTTTGAACAATACTTCAAAAATATTATGCAGAAAAATTAAAATGTTAGCTGCCATCATGATCTCACACTCAAGATTTGTCAAGCCCTACCCAAGAGTATGATGTATGTCTGGTCTGAAGAAAACTGTCAATACCTAGGCCCCCTCCAACTGCCATGCCTCTAAGCCCCATGCTGCACTTGTAGAGTGCTCCTGTGATACCACCTGCAGCCACATACTCCAAAATGCTTGAACGCCCTCTGTAAATTGATATTGATGTTGTCAACAATCTGTTCAAAAATAAACTAAGAGTCAACACGAGAACACTGAAAAACCACTTGAAGCATTTTATCATTGGCACATATTCAGAACAATTATACCTGACTTAAAAGAATGTAAAATTTCTGCATAATTTACTTCCTAAAATTAACATTATTAATATGAAGTATTCTGTTCTGCAACAATCCATTCATGAGATACAGAGTGTGACAGCAACTACAAACTGAAGTAAGTAAAGCAGGTCGGCTGCACCATAGCTCAAGCGGTTAGTCACTGGCTTCCCACCGCAGCGGCCCGGGTTCAATTCCGGGTCTGGTCAAGCGGGATTTGTGGTAGACAAAGTGGCGCTGGGGCAGGTTTTCTCCAAGTACTTTGGTTTCCCCTGCCAATCTTCATTCCACCAATTGCTCCACACCCTCACTTATCATCTGGGGCTGGTACAATAGGCCAGAAGTGGCCACAGTACAAGGGACTTAGTTCCACTCCACTAGCAATAATAAAAAAAAAAAGTAAGTAAAGTAAAGGTATCCCTGTAACAGGCTGTGTAAGCCTATAGGGTCATGAGATGTTGAGGCTCCCACATTTTCTAGACAATCAGCTCACAGATGGCGGTGAGGTTGTCAGCCTCACGCACCGGCCGCCCTTACCCCCAGGAACATTCCTGGTACTCATTTCTGTTAGAGGCTGAGTCGACCCCAGGGCCATTGTACGGCTGGAACGATTAGGTAAATTGAAAAAAATCCACCTCATCGGGATTCGATCCCACGACTTTCCGGCTTGTAGCATTGTGCCTCAACCAACTACGCTACTGTGTACCATTGAGAACTACTAGGATTCTGAATTTTGCACTCATTACAATGCATAAAACCCAAATAAGAAAATACCTGATAAATGCTTTCATTCCATGTTAACATGTTTGTGTCATTTACCAGCCACTGTCATGGAAGTTACATGTTCTGTACTGTTCCCATATTATTTTTTTGGTTCCTATAAATTACTCTAATAAAATACCACATTTTTCAAATATCTATCACCATACAACACTTCAAGATCTTACGATGAATACAAGCAGAGTCATTCCCACCTCAAAGTACATGTGGCTGTCATGTCAGAAATGTTGTAAACAAGAAGTTAAGAAGCATAAAATAGGATGGACTCTAATGGCATTTTAATCATACAGTCTGACATTAAATGTAAATTGGAAAATAAATAATGTACTGGTTTAATTTCAGCAGTAAAATGCAGTTAATATGTATAACAAATTTTCAGTTTACAAGTTATATGGCACGTTGAAAGACAGAAATTTGAAAATTTATTTGTATCTGTATGACTTACAAACTAATGCTGCTTCTGAGGATGAACAAACAAGCAAAGCATATTCAATAACTTAAAGAAGTTCTGGGAAGAATAGCCTACTTTCTTTTCACTGTAATCTGAGTACCTGATATGAGGTCTATCAGAAAGTCATGGACTAGGTAAAAAAAGAAAGTCTGGCTTAAGTTACTCAATTTTGGCTGCCATCTCCTTCAAAATAGTCTCCTCTGCAACGTATACAGCCTTCCCATTGAACTTTCCACACTTCCAAAGCATCATGGAAGTCATTTTCCTTAATGCTGTTGAGTACCACTTGCAATTCCTTCGGATGTCCAACGCTGTTTCAAAACATCATCCCTTCAGCTTAATTTTCAATTCGGAAAACAAAGCGAAATCACAAGGGGCTAAATCCAGCTAGTAGGGAGGATGGTGGATGATAATCATGTTGTTGTTAGTCACAAACACTGTGATTTTCAGGGACATGTGGGTGGGTATGTATGTTGTTGTAATAAAGGAGCAGTGCAGTGCATGTTCAAATTTTCTGTTAAGATCTCCTGGCAAACTCCATCACTGATCCCAGTGGTGTCTGCAAGCTCATGGATTGTTTGGTGATGGTCTTTGCAGACGAGTTCTTGAATTTTTCAACATTTTCTGTCATTCTGCCCATGCTTGGTCACCCTGAACATTCATCATCTTCAACTGGCACTTGACCAGCCTTAAAACGTGAATTCCAATCAAAAACCACTGTCCGGTTTAAAGAATATTCTCCAAAAGCCTCATGAAGCATTTCAAGGGTTTTGGTAGCAGATTTACTGAGCTTCACGCAAAACTTGATGCAGATAAGCTGCCTGATTTGCCATCCATCACAAACAAAATGAAGCATGAAGTCAAAAAAGCACTCATGTAAAAACAATGCATGTTCACAGCATGGTGTCATGTGGCAGACTGATGCAATAGACTTTCAGAAGTGTGACCTCGGCCTCCCCTCTCACTTTCTTTCACCAAGGCATTTAGAACAATAACAAATCCTAGAATTTTCTGATACCACCTCATACAACAAGTAGAAAGCAAATTTTAGTATATAGGCATAATGAGTGGGAAAGCCAGAAAGAAAGAGATCACTAGGAAGACCTAGACATAGGTGGATATTAAGATGGATCTTAGAGAAAAAGGATGGGGTGGTATGGACTGGATTCATCTGGCTCAGGATACAAACCAGTGGATGGCTCTTGTGAACATAGCATTGGCCCTTCAGGTTCCATAAAATATTGCGAAATTCATAAGTAGCTAAGCAAGTGGTGGTTCCTCACAAAGGGCTCAGCTCCATGGAGTTAGTCACAGATACGTAATGAAATCAATAAAACAATACAATTAGGTATTACTGATGGCAGTGATTTATGAAGTACACTGTTGAAATGGCCTCAGACAGCATGATATACATATCAAATTTCATGAAGGCTGGTTCAGGCACTCAGGTAATGTTAAGGTTATTAAAAAAAAAAAAACAAGTAAAGCTATCCCCATAACAGGCCGTGAAGGCCCATAGGGTTGTGAGACGTTAAGAGTCCCACATTATCTAGACAATCGGCTCAAAGATGGCGGTAAGGTTGTCAGCTTTATGCACTGGCCACGCTTTACTCCCCATGAAAATTATTTAATTCCTAGTATTCATTTCTGTTAGAGGCTGAGTCAACCTCAGGACCATAGTGCGGCTGGAAGGATTAGATGAACTGAAAAAATCCAATGACCTCATCGGGAATTGAACCCACAACCTTCCTGCTTGTAGCATAGCTCCTCAACCAACTACCTTGACAATATGGTAGGCTGCAGTGTGGGCACTACTAATAGGAAGGAATTATGATGTATGTCATTGAGATGACATCAGATGGCAAGACTCATACGTACCAGGTTGCATGATGATAGGTTCAGAAATCCAAGTAAAATTAAGGGTATTACCTCAACAATTTGAGAGGCTGTAGTGTTGGTACTACTGATGAGAGGGCTATATCAAGTATGCCATTAAGATGGCATCAGATAACATGATTGTAGTTACCAAGTTTCATGAAGACTGGTGCAGGCATTGGCATTCAAGCAATTTGAGTGATGTAATGTTGGTATTACTGAAAGTGTTCAAGAAATTTGAGTGACATAATTTTGGTATTACTGATTGAAGGAATTTATGAAGTGTGCTGTTGAGATGGGATCAGGTGACATGATATACATATTAAGTTTTGTGAAGACCGGTACAGGCGTTCAACCAATATTACGATTTTGCCTCAGAAATGTGACAGGCTGTAATTTTGGTATTACTAATGGAATGGATTCACAGACTCAGGTGACATGATAAATGCATCAAGTTCCATGACAGCCAATTCAGGCATTACATTACATTGCATTGCATTCCATGGATCCAAAGTTAGTCAAAATGACGGTAGGATGTGGAATATGTCATATAAATACAAAACATATGTACAGTCCCAATGAAGTTCTCACACAAGAGAAACCAAGAATACACAGTAACTACACACAAGGCTATTTAAAGATACGTAAGTTATTTTCTAGACAATAGGTATTCATCAACAGAGTAGAATGAATGTGTATTTAAGTATTGTTTCAGTGCTATTAAGTAACATGGTTATTACTGCAACAATGTGAGAGGCTGTAATGTTAGTATTACTAATGGAAGGAATGCATGAAGTGCGCCAATAAAATAGACTCATGTGGCATAACATTTTTACTAAGTTCCATGACAATCGAATCAGGCATTTAAGTAACATTACAATTACAAACTAGCCAAACATCTAAATATAATACTGAACATCATCTTACTACTATCTAACACATTTAATGTGCAGAATACCAGCATACTAGCTCATTCACTGAAGCTTATCAAAAGAAATAAAAATACATGACTATGTTCATTTGAAACTGAAAACATGTACACAAATATCCCAACACATGAAGTACAAAACATCATGAAAAACATTACAGGTAAGAATTACATCATCTCTCAAGAAATGAAAGCAGAAATTTTACATCCACTGAACACAATTTTAGAACAGAATTATACTGAACACAAGGGAAAGTGGTACAAACAGAATGATGGTCTAGCAAGGGGAGCACCAATATCAGCAATCCTAGCAGAAACATTTACACAAAAAAAACCTCAAAAACAAAATAATTGTGGACATTTTGAAGATATGTTGACAACCTACTAATCATATATAACACATGCACATTTAATATCTATAATACCTTAAAAGAATTCAATAAGATACCCCAGAATCAAGTTCACAACATAAGAAGTAAATAACACAATTAACTTCTTGGTTATATCCACTGCAAACTCCCATAATAATGCCATCCATATGAACACAAAAAAGCTTCTATAAATTTCCTCATTAACCAAATGAATAAATACCCAGTTACACATAACACCAAAAAAATGAAGAAACTACCATAAAAACAATACTAGATAATAATTATCCTCAGAACACTATACAACAGAAACAGAAACCCCCGAAAAAGAACAGCAAACAAAAAATAAAATGGGCCCCCTTCACTTTCTTCAGGCCAGAGACTAGAACAATTACAAAATTATTCAGAAATACTGAAATTAGGATATCATATAGAAGTAAGAAGAATATAAAACATTTGTTAAGAACAGAAGAGAACAACAACGGAAAATATAACCTAAGCGTAGTATATCAGTTACAATGTGCAGACTCTCCACAAAAGTATGTAGGGCGAACGGGATGAACTTTCAAAACTACACTCAAAGAGCACATAAGAGCTATAAAGAATAACAGACAGTACTCCAATTTTGCCCAACATATATTAGATACCAAACATGAATATGAGACAGTGGAGAAAACAATGAAAATCCTACATATAGGAAAGAAAGATCAGATGCTGGATACTTATGAAAGATTTCACATACAGAGTGTTTCACAACTTTAGGGCATAACTGCAGGAGGCGATTTCCTATGTCTTTGTGATCAAAAAAGTTCATATAAACATGTGTCCGATTTTGGACGGTTATGGAGTTATGACCGTTTTAAACTCAGAATAGAAGGTAATGATTACTGACAAAAAACGGAACAAAATAATAAACCAGCATAATACATGATGCATTTAAAGTATGAATGTAAAGTTAACTTCGTGAAATTACCTTTAATTTGAATTGATTGGTGCTTAAAGCTGATTTTCAAAAATGTCACCGCCAGCCGCAACACAGGCTGCTGCTCGGTTGTGAACCGCGCCGGACATACCAACCTACCCCGCTCTCAAGTGTCAAGATAACGAGAACGCTCTGTCTGCAGCTGGATAAAAATAGCGATCTGCCAGCTGACAGACGCGGTTAATACGAGGGCGTGTACGGGAATGAAAAAGCGGTCATAACTCCATAACCGTCCAAAATCGGACACATGTTTATATGAACTTTTTTGATCACAAAGACCTAGGAAATCACCTCCTGCAGTTATACCCTAAAGTCGTGAAACACCCTGTATATGAAATCAGTAAACAAAACACAATTAAATTACAATCTTACTGAAACATATAATCGCATTTTCTTTTTCCTTGGCACTACAGCCCCAGTGGGCCTAGGCCTGCCTCCATGAACTTCTCTGTTCACTTCGTTTTTTCTAGATCTTACACATTCAGTAAGACTCCTTGGGAGGGTGACCAGCTCATCACAAGGCCTCTACCTGTACACAAACACAGAAAAACACACACAAACTAAACATCCATGCCCTGACTGGGATTCAAACCCATGATCCCGGTTTCCAAGTGGGCGAAGACAGTATAATCGCATATACAATATAATAATAACTGCCTACCAAAATACAGGAAATGGAAAACAACAACCAGATTAACCCATCCTACCACACCTACACACACCCCAACTATATCCTCCCTTCCCCTTCCCACCTATAAATTCAATAACATAACACATGTTAGAAGACCAGCTGCAATCTAACACATAACGAAGCCAAACACTGAAACATGAAAGGTGCATAAACCTATAAAATAGGAAGTAGACAATATAACTTAAATATAAACATTCAAGCAATAAATGAAATATAACCAACCAATATTAAAATCTAACCAGAAATTAATTCAAGGAGGATGAGGTGGGCAGGATATGTAGCACAAATAGGGGAAAAGAGGAATGCATATACGATATCGGTGGGAAAGCCCGAAGGAAAGAGCCCACTGGGAAGACCAAGATGTAGGTGGGGGGCAATATAAAAATGGATCTTATAGAAATAGGATGGGATGGTATTGATTGGTTTGATTTGGCTCATGATAGGGACCAGTGGAGGGCTTTTGTGAACACAGTAAGCAACCTTTGGGTACCATAAAATGGTGGAAAATTCTTGAGTAACTGCACAATTGGCAGCTTCTCAAGAATAACTCAGCTCCAAGAGTGAGTAAGTAAGTAAGTAACCAGAAAGGAATAATGATAAAATATTGATTATATTCTAAATAATATATAAATTATGACAGAAGAAAACAAGACCAGGAAGCATTGAAATAAACAGTAAGGAACATCACAACAACTAGTTCCCAACAAAACGACTGTTCCATAAGGAAGGCAAATGGGAGAAGAAATAAAACAAACTAGACCACAATCAAAATAACACTCAGAGATAACTACACACTGTATAATGCAATATGAGTAATATTCACATACAAAATATTTATGTATGAGATATTTAAACATGATATTAATGAGCAACATTTTACTTCATCATCTGAGTGTATTTTATAACTTAAAAAAGTTATTATTTTTATATTGCTTTATTTTCTTTATGTACATCTCTAGGCGCTCATTTAATTTAAAACTTTTATTCCAATTTTAATGCATTTACAAGAATGGCATTAATACTAACAAAATACTGAATATATTAACTATGTGTACAGTCAGGCACATCAGTAATAGTTATATTGTATTATATGAATTCATATAAAATGCAATTCAACAATCTGTCAACAGTTGTTAGTGTATACTGCCTGATAATGGCTCTACAAGCCAAAACATGTAGCATACCGCCATACCATTAAGACCAATAAACTCCATTATGTACAGTAAATGTGAATGAGATTTTGATAGTTGTTGTGTTGAGACAAACAAAAATTAAACATTAGTTACTGCTGCAACAATCTGAGGGTGTAATGTTGATATTAGTTATCGAAAGGATTTATGAAGTATGTCAGTGATATGATTTCATGTGCCATGATATACATACAAAGTTTATGAAGATTGGTATAGGCATTCAAGCAATACTAAGGTTTTGCCTCAGAAATCTGAGGGGCTGCAATGCTGGTATTACTGAAGGGTGGGACTTACGAACTATGTCATTGAGATGGGCTCACGTGCCATGTTATACATACTAAGTTTCATATAGGCTGGTTTAGCCATTCAAAAGTTAATGAGGGGGATGCAAACACAGAGACAGCAAGGTAATCTCATAAGCCAACTTTTATTTTTTCAAACTAAGGAAAGCGGGCTAAAACATTAGCTCAATAACAATTACTGACATCAAAAAACCTTTTGTATTCCACTAAATATAGAAATACAAAATTTGCATACATTCAGAGAAATTATTTCAATATAATACTTACACATAAGTACCAGTAAACATGCCTAACCGCCAGCCCCATCTGAAAGCTCCTTTACCAAACCCAACTGTCACTTGATCTTGAAGTTTTTTCTACAAAATATATATGTACACATACATAAACAGGCAGTTTCACTATAAATGTATTCACAGGGATTGTTTCCATTCGGAATCATACATAAAATCTATAAATCACTACATATTTCTAAAAGCTCCCGAATAGAACATCATCACAGATAACTGATTTTACAGGGTGAATTGTATAGAAACGGCTGGATGAATTTGCTAATAATTCCGCAGGTGATGCATATAACTGCTCACAATTACAACATAATAATCCGTGGGCCGTGATGAGTCAAATGGCGTGCGCATGATCCGGCAAGTGACAGCCCTTATGATGCAAGGTCACGGACAATCCCGAAACGTGTCTGCAGTTCGCAGGCGACAGTCATGGAGTACACTGTTGAACGGCGAGTGTTTCTTGTGCGCAAGTACTGCGTGACAGGCTCGACTGCATACACACAATAGGAATTCAGGAGGAAGTTCTTGGCTCAGAAATTGGAAAGGACAGGGACACTTGTAAGTGAATGTGGAAAAACCGCCCAGAAACACCAGAAGAAACGACTGCAATTGTGTGGGACAGGTTACTGCAGTCTCCCAAGAAACCATTACGACGTCTAAGCCAGGAAACCAGGTATTCTTATTCAACATGTCAACAGGCTGCAAAGAAAGCGAATCTTCATCCCTACAAGATCACCAGTGTTCAGGAATTGGGTGATGTTGATAAAGGTAAATTGGTATGGTACTGTTTATGGTTTCGGGAATTCGTGCACGATAACCCCAGATTTTGGATATCACTTGGTTTAGTGATGAAGCATGGTTCCACCTATCAGGATATGTAAACGCACAAAATTCCAGGATCTTGGCGTCTGAAAACTCACGTGAGATTGCTGAATCACCACTACACCCACAAAAAGTGGGTGTGTGGTGTGCCATTTCTGGTTTACGAATCATTGGACTGATCTTCTTCGACACAACTGGGGACAACGCCTTATACTGCCATATTTTTTACGATTTCGTGCAGCAGCTGGATGATGTGGAACTTACACAGGGTTATTTTCAGCAGGATTCAGAGACATGCCACATGTCCAACATGTCCATGGAACTGATTGAGAGCTTCTTCCCTGATCATGTCATCTCTAAAAAGATGTGGCCCCCAAAAATCCCCCGACCTTACCAGCCCGGATTTTTTTCTCTGGGGTCTACTGAAGGACAGCGTGTATGCAAACAAACCGCAAACAAACTGCGTACGTTACAGGATTTAAAGGACATTTCGGCTGAAATCAGGAACATCACTGAAGAAACAGTGCAGCGAGTCATGGCTAATATGCAAACGCGGGTAGAGGCGTGCCTACTTGAAAACGGCGGACACTTTCAACACCTGCTCTGATCAGGGCACACAATCTAAGATAAGATATGTGTAAATTACTTTAATATCTGTATGGTATATTTTATATTACAGCTCATTTCGTCGGGCCGGTTCTATATGAATCACCCTGTAGTTGAAGTCTTTCGTAGATGGAAAATATTTTTTTTGCATAAATTCTGTGAAATGTTAATAAATATGTATAACTGTGTTCCAGAGGTATATTTTTATGCATATTGTGTTTACTGTTTTGAAAATATTGCACAGTTAAGATATTTGGGAACAATAATAACAAATCAAAACCTGATTCAAGAGGAAATTAAGAGGAGACTGAACTCATGTAATGCTTGCTACCATTCAGTCCAGAACCTTTTGTCTTCTTGTCTGCTGTCCAGAAACATAAAAATCAGAACATACAAAACTATAATTCTGCCTGTGGTTCTGTATGGGTGTGAAACTTGGTCCCTGACATTAAGGGAGGAACACAGACTGAGTGTGTTTGAGAACAGGGTGTTGAGAAGAACATCTGGACCAAAGAGAGATGTAGTGATGGGAGGTTGGAGAAAACTGCATAATGAGGAGCTTCATAACTTGTACTCTTCTCCAAGTAAAATTAGAATTTTCAAGTCAAGGAGGATCAGGTGGGCAGGGCATGTGGTACGAATTGTAGAGACGAGGAAGGCATGTAGGATATTGGTGGGAAAGCTAGAAGGAAAGAGACCACTGGGAAGTCCAAGGCATAGGTGGACGGACAATATTAAAATGGATATTAGAGAGATAGGATGGGATGGACTGGATTGATCTGCTCAGGATAGGGACCAGTGGAGGGCTCTTGTGAACACAGTTAGCAACCTTCAGGTTCCATAAAATGCTGGGAAATTGAGTAGCTGCAGAATTGGCGGCTCCTCCAGGGCCCAGCTCCATGAGTAAGTAAGTACTATGTTTACTGTATATTGTGTTTAATGTCCTATTCTGACCAGCGGCCATGGAGTGATTATGATACACAGTGGGTTCAGAACATTCAGGAAGGAACCATGTCTCAAATATGGCAGCAATAAGCAGCCCTTATTCATTACTATCTTCAAATTACCATTCTTTGGCCTTCCTAGTTTCTCCTAGTGTTCATAATGTGACATGATAATTGAAGAGAGAGGCATTGCTAGATTACAGCACAGTAAGCAACTTATCAGTGTAACAGTGACTGCACATGCAAAAGAGGAATGTCCACTGTTGGAAGCAGTTACTAAGCAGCACAGTGAAGACCATGACTGAGAACATTAGTCATTGCATGATAGTGATCTGTGAAGTGTAGTCACAAGCTGTATTGAGTGTCCAACAAATCCAGTTACCAATCCAAAACCTGTCTACAGTCACTCTAATGCATGACAACTGGTTCCTGAAATAGGATTGGATTGATTAATTTGGTTGGAGATGGTAGCAGATACTTATATTGCCACACTACGAAGATAGACCAAATAATGGAACGCATACTGGCTGAAAGGAAAGCTGGTCAAGATACAATGATGGCCAAGATGGGAGGTGAAATGAAGGCTGACATGAAAACCCAGATGGCCAAAATGAGAACTGAAATGAAAACCAACCAAGAATATCTGGTAGCTGGCTTAGAAAAGATAAAGGCCAAGATGGATGCCTGTCTAGAAAAGATTCAGTAAAGATGCAAGCCAATCAGGAAAAATTATAGACGACAGATCTGGTGGTAACTCCAAAAGAAAAAGAGGCTGTGGCAGAGCAGCACAACATCCCTACTGACAATGCCGCAGTGGTAACTACTGCCACACCGGAACACCAATCTGGGGACCACTGACCAGCCATGGGATACTAGAACACATGGAAACAGTGGACCACAGACAATATTGTATGCAGAACCCCTAAAAGGACAGACATTCGTGAATGGACACTGGGCACAGCTGAAGTGCAACAATGGTATAAGGGACCAAGGCCTGAAACAGCAGCTATAACTGGGAAGCAAGGGAAATGTCAATCAGACCCTGAGATAGATCACAGAGCTGGAGACCATAAAGTGAGTGGTTGGGTCTTCTCTCAGGGTTAGAAAAATGAGCGTCAAGACACTGTGGTGGAACTGGCCATGACCCTAATAAAGGAAGGGACTGCACACACCTTTCTCCCTGTGACTATAAGAAATGGTGACATGCCTGTAGGCTACTCAGAACAAGCAGCATTAAGGAGGTAGTAATGTGACATCATACCTATTGCTCAGTGTTAGCTTCAAAGCTGAAATACATAATGCACCATCACATGTACAACATTTGAGAAGTTTGCTCTTATGTATCACGTACTGGGGTGGGGGGAATGCACTGTTTCCATCTAAATGTAAACTAGGTAAAACTGTTAACATTTTCTAATATTTATTCATTCTCTGTGCAGTGTCCCATTTATAGCGATTATTTTAGTCCGACATCCATTATAACAAAAATTTCAGTTTAACAAAAGTAGATTTAAATATCTAACCTCAATGACATGTTTGTAAATAACTTTTTTCTTCTCTTCTGGTTTCACCAATATATGCAATACATATTTTGATATTTATCCTGTTTATGGTACTTTGGAATTTACTTTGTCCATGACTACATACCTTAGCATCAAAATGACTCTGGAACACAGTGGCTTCATTTCTTTCCATGAAATCTGTGTATGCAACCTTTGAATTAACAATTCCTCCATAGCAAGCACCAACAAACATCCCCATAAAACCAGCCTGAAGTGCAGCATTTAGTTCAGGACTAATATTGCCAAACTCACTGCAAGAAAACATTACAAATTCAGAGCACACACTAATTAAATATGGGTACTACTACAATAACTTGTTCCTAGATAGTATGTATGGTCATTTAACAGGAAGCAATATAGCGAAGCATAAAGAATTATTGTAGAAGGTTCTGATAATGGTGTATAACAATTGGGACTACAGAGATTTCAGATTTCTTCCATCATCTGGTATTCTAAAGAACACAACATTTTTGGAAACTCGATCTCTTTCCATACTCAAACGAAACAGTGGGAGGCACCACCAGCCCTATTAGAAATAGTCAACTTTCATCACATTAGCTCTAACAGACCCAAAAGAGAGGGTGCCTCCCACCCTTTCACCTGATGATGGAAAGAGATCCAGTTTCTGGAACACTGGATGATGAACAATGCCCAAAAACTCTATGATCCTGAGCAATAGGAAACAGTTCAGAGATAAATTATTCTTTATAATGTACCATACAAAAATTGTATCCTTAGATTTAAAAACCTAAGGCATGCATTTCTGTCTATATTCCGTCATCCTTATGGGAAAGTCACTGATGTTAGCAGTAGATATGGACATGACCACCAGGTGACAGTGAGAGGTACCTCCACTTCAGACAGCACCACACCCTCAACCTCTGTTGAAAACAAATTTCCATTGTTCATGGTGCACATATTCAGTGAAATCATGTTTTAACATACAAGAGTGGATGAACATATAGACCATCTACATTGTCACGACTTTAGACTGACTATTAGATTGGTAGTCGGATTTATTGAACATTTACAGAACGCAACTACAAATAATTATGACAGTCTCACTGAGTTACACACGTCAAAAATCACTCCTAACTATAGCACACATGAAGTCTCCTCAGTCTTCCCTAGCTGCTGCTCAGTAGCAGCTTCCAATGGCAGACACTCCCCTTCAGTTCCTGAACTGTCCCCAGCATCAGCTACACCAACTCTCGACTGACTAAGTCACTCACCAACTGACGGACTGCATTCCACTGACTAACTTGAGCTCTTAACTTGTCCCAATCATAATATATTGGCACAGACTGCACTGTTCTTCATTGCTGTAGTCCAACTGTTGCCATGGGAACATGTTTGTTTCCAAAGCCATTGCTAAATAACAGTTGTTGCATATCTGCTTATCTCATAGTCATTGCCCAGCAGCAGGTCTACAGGCCACAATATAAACTGCAGCTAGATAGGAATTCTTAACTTCAAAGACTCAGCCCATTTGTTGGATTTCAGATTAACCACACTAATGTGTGTCTGTACATTAATATGAGTACAAGGGAAGATTACAAAATATACATGGTAAAGAAAAAGTATACGATGGTAATGCTATAAAAACAGCTACTGGTTAAATCTATAGTGCCCATTAATTCACTTCACCACTGACTCTTATAGTTCAAAAATCTCTGCTGTGGTAAACTAGGCAATGACGACTTAGGTGTCCTGATGCAACTTGAAGAAACAGAGAGGTTAAGTATCTCTAATGAAGTTTGTTTTTATAAGCAATCTTTCACTAAAGTTTATTTATTTATTTATTTATTTACTTCATATCCATGGATTATACATAGCATTTTATATATATAGCAGAAACGTTTCATGCATAATTGATTTGACCTTATGTAGTGCCTTAGCATAAATTCTGTTGTAATTCAAGAACTTTTCAAAGTTATTTCTAATGAAGTTCATTTCAACAATTTCCCATTGAAAATTCAATAGGCTTTATATTAATACTTAAACAAAATGTCCATATTTCTTGCAGTGTTAATTTACAACATAAGCAGCATATATGTGATTTGAAGCTTTCAGTTTACCGTGAAAATGGAAGCAACATTTCAGCCAAAACACTGGGTACCACCTATCATACTACATGCTGTCAAAATCCAGAGAACACAACATGAAATACGGGCAGCTGGTGTTTCTACAGAGTTTCCAGCTTATTATTAGACTGGTTCCAGCAGCTGACACAGCACTCTTCTAACATAAACCCCCCATTATAGAAAATAATTCACAGCTTGCTTTTCCACCATAGTTCAACTCACCTTATTTTATAGATATGTCTCTAAGTGACAACCATCTGCTTCTAAGCATGCCTCACATTATGACAGTATGTCTATACACAAACACTGAAGCTGTACAAGAACAGTGGGAATTTAATGCATAACATTTTCTTGAAGTTCTATTAAACAGTGCACACTGTTCATGTATGTTTTTGCTTCAGTGTGCCCCAAAACTAAGTCACAAAAATTTAAATTGGATGATCACAAGGCTGCAATCCTCAACTTATGACTTGTTCACTTACAACTTCATCTAATGCATCCACAGAATTAAGAGTACTACCTTCTGGGATATAATGCTGTGTAGTCTATTTAGAGTCAACCAACATTTCAGAGGAACATATCGCATCCATCTGCAGGGCCAAATAAGCCGAGCAAGATACCAGCATGAAAGCAGGTGGCAAGCAGAGTAATCGGCTAGCTGAAAATTTCAGATCATATAGGGAGCAGAAGGGAAATGGAAAAGTGGACCTCAGTTCAGACTGGCTCAACCTGAAAATGGAGGTGGCATGTTCCTCCAAAACATCAGCTGACTACCAACCGACTACATGGCGTTACATCCCAGAAGGCAGTAAGTACTCTTCATAACCGCAGCCATGAGAACCTCAAATCCTACATTCACAGAATTGTTCACAGTGTGTGTCATTGCAAAGGGTTTTTCAATATTGAACTGAAAGAAGAAGAGTAACAGACTCAATACTACCTAACATTAAGAATTTGTTTCATGAAAGAACATAGACGACCGCCTCTGGGGTCTAGTGATTAGAGTTCCTGGCTACAGATCCAGAGGTCCAGGTTCAATTCCCGGTGCTACCAGATTTTCTGTGAAGTAGTGGGTCTGGAAAGGGGTCCACTCAGGAGCTATTTCAAGGAAATCATGACTCTGGTCTAGAAAACCAAGATTAACAGCCATGGGGATTTGTTGCACTGACCACACGACACCTTCTATCAGCTAAAGTTGGCACTAACTTCACCAACAGGCGGCAGTCACTCCGTCAGTATAGTCTGTTTGCAGACTAAAACTACGGAGTTTGTTTTATTTTGTGTGTTTGTTTGAAAGAACATAGGCCCAATTATCCTCCACACACTAACTACATACTTAACTCAAAATTTTTAATCATGCAAAAGCACTTAGTCTACATTAGGATTCTCTCTGCTTCAATATCCGTTATCTTGGTTGTTTATATCACCAACTAAAATTAACCACACCTCATCAGACTGTAACTTCAGTTCTGAGTCAAGAAGTCTGTTGAAAACTAATTCATGACACCATCTAAAGCATCAAATCTCTGCTTTGCAATCTGAAGGCAAAAACTATGTATGACTGGTTTTCTAAAAGTGTAACTCAGCAACTCTGTACCAACATGAGGCATTCTTTTCTCCAACACACTGAAAAGACAAAATATGTAACATCTTCAGGTTTGCTTCTAATCAGGTAATTTTGTTGTCAAGTTTATCTTCAGTCAGTTCATCTTCTCCTCGATTTCTTGTCCAGCACCGATCCCACAGAAAGCAAATTTGTTACAACATAGTAAATCATTCCTTTATATAGCACAGTACCATCTGGATAATCCTATGAAACTTTACATATCATTTCTTCCACTAAATAGGCTGTACTTCAGTTCTGAGGGAGTTATATGCGCTTACCTTATTACAAGCATATTACCAAATTAAACTGTTCTGAAATTAATAAGCAATGTTAAAAGTTTTACAAACCGTAACTTAAAAAAGCATTTGAGGCCTTGTAGCAACTTCGCAACAGTAACAATAACCCATATGTACGGTTTCTCAATTAATTACAAGTGCCCATATATTGCCTCATGCAACAAATTTCTTAAACTTACTCCATGGAATACATTAATCTAAGTCTCTCCCAACCAGACTCATTTTCTACGGTCCGCTGGTAAAAAGGCTCTGATGTTACTTGGTCGACTTTATCAGGACTACCCGTTAACCAGTCAAATGACAAAAGACCACAGAAATACCATGGTTTTCTTACGGTTCTGCGTAGCATTTTATAACCTCGTCGGGGGCGTGAACGATTTTAGGAATCAGACCTACACATCTACTACGTCTACTACCCATCACCACCACCACCACCACCACCACCACACCAGACATACCACTACAGTCGGTCCATGACCGGTCTATTACAACGGTTATCAGCGGTTATTAATAGCAGTCACGGGTGGACGATATTAATGTTTCTAACCCTTTCATCTGTGAGGTGTGAGTTGCAGGCATCCCTGGTCTTCGTTCTTTCAGCCGTGCCGCATATACGCACCAAGGAGTGTTTCTGGGACAGTAATGAATGTGGAAGTAAACACAAAAAAATTACGCTAAGCACAGGAAAGAATAATTGCAACTAAAAACCGGACCTGAAGATATTTGCCTAAACATGTTGTCCCAGACAAAATTCTACCTGCTAAAAATCCTATTTTGTTGACAATAATGTAATAAATATTATATATTGTGATATAATGCCCGAAAGCCACTGACAACCCTGGCAACGGTTCGGAAAACACGCTAACACAGTGTTGGATGCGCAAGCACCAATAGAAGCGGTACGGTCCATGCTGCGGTTACGTAATGAGGATACAAGCCGGGTAATGAATAAATGGTGAATGACCAGCGGAGGACCAACTATGAGATGTAGCCAGCCGGCACCGGCGTAGACATGAAAGCAGATGATATGTACAGTTACGATTTAGTGTTCGACAAATCCATTTACCAAGCAAAGCCCTATGTCTAGTTACTAACACGTGACAATACAGTGATTTGCACAACAGAGTGCAACAAAATATCAGATGATGAAGACGATGAGAATATGAGACACTCTCGAACTCTTACGTAGTCGATTTCCATTGATTCGGCATTAATGTGGGGCCGCAGTAACAAGCTACCCCAAATTTTCATAACCCTCGGACCTCTTGAACAATATATATGTACGACTCCACTCTGCTTTATTCTGTACAAACGACAGACTCGTTCTCTCATCAGAGTGGTTAGCGGTGGTTAGAGAGGGCGCCTCACGTGGACAGGACAGTAATTTTAAAACGGGAAAAAATATCTGGTAATAAGCCCCCGTTGGGGCTCGACACGAAGATAGGCAGACTGACTGACCGTGAGTTACAGTCAGTTGCTATGTAACTTTGACTTTATCCTGTGCGAAATTATTTATAGTCACTTTTGCGAGCAGAGGTTTCCTTTGTGGGGGGAGCAGAGGACCAACCTCCTTTCCGATTGAATTCTGGGCGCTGGAGGGCTATTTTGTATTTAGTAAGTGCAGGATGCATAAAGATGGCCGATGTAATACATCAATTGATGTAACGGCGGCCATGTTGCCCGAAAATAATACGGAGTTTCAAGGGTCAGTTCCCGCCCTGTGGACCGACAGTGGTAGACGTGATAGAGGGTCAGAGATCAGGTAGACTTGAAGTGGATCAGGGATCAGCGACGATTAACCGATTACGAAGATCGTGACGATCGTGAACATCGTGGTTGCTCCGTATGCGCTTCAACAGGCCGAAGCAAGTATACACAACCGTACACAGGACAACAATATAATGCCAGCGCGATATATAGCGGTGGATAGATACTGATAAAGGAATGATAAAGAGGAAGGTGGAAGACACCATATTTATGTTGAAATGAATTTGTGCGTAGTTTTCATGTTCAGTCTACTGTTATGGAACGAAGGATGCCATATGAAGAAAATACCGAGGATAGGTATTATTCAGTACGATGTATTTATTGAAGCATATTAACGGCGACTAATCCAGCCGGATAATCATAATATCAATGGACCTGGTGAAGTTTCATGAAATTTCGAAGTAATAGTTTAAATGTATAATGTTACATTAAATAGCCGTGGCATTGACTAAGTTAATATATTTTAACTCTATAACCGTTCCATCAAATTAACATAACTTAGATATTTGAGAAATGCTGAGGGACTAGAGAATTGAGAATTGCCCGTTGAACTAGTCCGGAAAATCCAAGTGACATGAATTCAGTAGCCGTCTTTCTTATTTTCCATCTCACGCATTTCAGAATGTACTTCTTTGTAATGGTACTGAAGCACAATGTTGCTAAGTGTAAGACCACTGCAGTGTGCTTTTTATTGAAAATTACCCTATTTCATTCTGTTAACATATTTAAACTCTCTGTGCACAGTATTGTGAATTGTGCCATTTTAGGTAACAAGTTGGCTGAGCACAATTCATCTTTACAATTTTGGGGATTTGGCAAGGTACAACATCCAAACATTTAGGCACTATAACAGTCAGTGTATTGTACCACTTAAAGAAGTTTGACATATGCATTATTGGTAATTCTGTATGGATCAAGTTCCAAGTTCCATGTGTACAGTGCATTAGTGATAATTCTGTATGCATCAATTTGCTGTCCAAGTTCCATTTGTACATTTTGCAGGAAAGGAACTTACATTTTATAAGCAGTGGTCTTATAGAACTTTGTAAACTTCATAAATGAATACCCTACAAGGTTGACCCATTCCACATTCCATCCGATAGCACTGTTGCCCATCATTCACACACATCTGGCTTTGTTAAATCACAGGACACATATACCTTTTTTGCAGAAGGGTTACCATTTTCATGACTGCAGTGCCCATGGCCATAAATCACAGAAACTGCATGTGCCTGCTATGATTTAAGACTCTGACCATTGTAATCAGATATTTGAAAACTCAGGTGTTTTATCTTGTCAGATCTTTTCACAGTAAATTTCTGAAATTGCAAACATTATTTTTGCCCGCTTCGTGTATCATCTCTTCATTTTTTCCTTTGACTTGCAGTTTAGAAGATACATTTTTTCATACATTTTTACTGAAAACATGCTGTAAACTCTGGTTATAGTGTTGTGGGTTGTGAATGATGTAGCTCAGCATCACAACCTAGAAGACCATACTGCCATGAGAACTCAGAACATACATAATAACATAATAAGAAAGAACTTCTGGAGCCTATTCTTCTAGAATAAAAGCTCTGCCTTTCATTCAGTTTAAACATTAATTACAACATGGAATGATGAAATGTTCTTGATTCACAGTCTTATACCTTCTTCTTCCTCTTCATCCCATACATACAAGTTTTCAGTAGACTTCTGTGCCCAAAGCTGGAATTAATATTACACCTGATTCTTCTCTGTGTTTGTGATACGTAACAGAAGTTGTACATTTTTAATTGACATCCGTGTCACATGGTTTGGAAACTGTATGTTGTCTGTCTTTATTGCTGGTCATGAGAAATTAAATCCAATGAGGTAACCTGGGATGGAGAAGACAAGAAGTACTTAACAGAATTTTGATGGGGTAGTCTCTTGAAAATCTGTTAGTTGGAATGAGATTGTATAAGGGTAATTTTGTGCTGAACCTTCCAGTTCTGTTGTCACAAAGTTCATTGTTTATGGGTCTAAGCTATGCAGAAGTGCTGTGACTTCCATCCATATTGCCATCTTAGTTGTGCTGTTCATTTATAAAGTATAGCATTTTGCAGTCAGTCATTGTTGCTTCAAGCTTTCTTCCACAAAATAGGACTGTGGATATCAGCAGCTTCACAGCCTAAACTGAGGTAAATGTAATTCCAAATGTTGTTTTTATAGCTGTGGTTGGTGGAGGCATTGGAGGAACATCAGCCAGCTATTTTCTTCGAGAACTCTTTGGCCCACATGGTGCCTTCATTGATTTATATGAGGCAAACAAAATTGGTGGAAGATTATCAGTCGTAGAAGTCGATGGTCGTGACTATGAAATGGGTGGTTCAGTAATTCATCCACAGAACAAATACATGGTAGATTTCCTGAAACTTTTAGGTAATTTGAGACTTTCAACAATGAAGTGGTATGTTTTAGAACTAAAAAGCTATATTTTGTGAGTTAAGATGTTGTTACATCCAAACCACAAATGATTATTCTCTCTCTCTCTCCCTCCCTCCCTCCCCCCTCCCCTGTTGCTATTCCTAATGCTATTCAGAGAAATTGCTGTTTAGTCTAAGAATCATTTGACACATAAATACAATTTATTGGTAAAGCATAGAGATTTTGAGTGTTAAAATGGATGGTACATATAGTAACCACTGTGTTATAGAGGGTTAAAGATAGTGACATGTGTCTAGAAAATAAATTCATTCAAAGTATTGTGTGTCTGAAGTTATTTGTTGCACTGATTTCATTAGAAGAACAGTGTGATGGGTTATTTAGCAGTACATCTCCAGTTTCAGAAAGTATTAATATCAGTTAATCCACAAATAATAGTAATCAGGAGATAGTTGCCATACCTTAAGAATTTCATAACATTAAAGAACAAAAAAAAACATAATTGAATTATAAAAATATGTGTTTTCAAAAGTAAATCTGAAGCATTGCAGAGATCCTCTTGTCCATTCACCATGAAAAACACGCTACATGCCCTATGAGATGTTACTTTCAGTAGCACTACCTGCACAAAGTAATTTCCATTTCTGTTTTTAAACTTTTAGGGTATAATATTTCTTCTATAACCAAATTAATGCAGCTTTCATTTATAGTAATTTTCACATTTCAGGTGATGATTTATTCCTTTTCATATTAGTTCTGTTTGCTAAACATAATTTTCTTCATACTGCAAGATGAAGGTGAAGGTGAAGGTAAAAGTAAAGGTAAAGTTGTCCCCGAGTTTAATTCAGCCCTGCATCTTGAAGATGTATGGGGGAGTGGATGTTTAGATTCACGTATTCTTGACCTCAGCATTAGTTGGAGGTGAGTGGTTAGGTTCATGCCTTGGCTGCTTTACTCCTGGGGAAAGAACCTCCAGTACCCATTGGATAGGAGGCTGAGTGGACCCCAGAACAAGTCTGAATGAATGCAGAGAGAAGAAATATCTTGCCTCTACCAGGATGCAAACTCTGACCCCTCAGCCATCCAGCCCCTGGTCAGTTGCTGTACCCAGTGCAGTATTCCGGCTCCTAACTGTTGCCATATGAAATCCAGTAATGCATGTGGTCTGTTTGTTAGACTCTGAAATTTTGTAAATAGATATCCAGTGTTAGTTTTTGTGTGTTAACATGGTCAGATTCTTAACATCTGGGGAGTACAGTATCTTGGCTGTAGGTCAGGTGAAGTCAGTTTTTAAGGTAAGAGAGTATGCACCCCCTCCCCTTCCCTATTCCAGAGAATAAAAAGAAACATTTGTCCTTAACCTTATTCCACGAGATGCAAGAAAGCTACATGCATTACTATGGATTTTTCTTGGAGTTTTGTCCACATACCCATATCAGTTTGTGTCCCCATGGCATTCTTGATTTGATTGAATGCGAACAGGTCAAAATATAAAATCGAGGGACTATTTTTACATAGAACGCTGTTATTCTAATTTTTATTTATTTATTTGTTGGTTGGTTGTTTAAAGTCCCCACTCACTGACTGCAGAAAGTGTAATTTAACACTATTAGCAAATCACTGCATTAAATATCTCTAACAGACTGAATGAACTCAGGATTGTTTGTATTATTAAATGGTGCAGAAACTGCAAATTACAGTCTGCCTACTGCTGTGGTGCACTTCTTGTGGAAAAGGAAAACATGATACAGAAAACTAGGCATCACAGTATACAAAAGAAATTTTGTTCAGACATTTTTCTGAAACTGATGTTTCATAAGGTCATTGAATACTATATGACTATGTAATGAAGTAGAATGATGGGCTACAAGCTGGACAGCTGAGGAATTGGGTTTAATTTAAGGCTGGAACATCTCCACAGTGTCCAATCTGACTCTGGGACCCATGTTGCCTTCTATCTAGTGGGTGGTGTCTGGAGCATGAAAATGATCACTCACCTCCATCTAGTGCTGAGGTTAAAAAATTTGGAGCTGTACATCCACTCCCATACACCCACAGGGTGTGGTGCATAATTAACCACAGGGACAACTTTACCTTTTACTGGAAATGCTGGTATGTTATTCAGAAGTCTTTTAGAGAGACTGCTGCTTTATAAGCTGTTTGAATAATATACAGCTATGTTATATACCAAAAAAGTTGTTCAGTTCAAAGGCTGGTGCTTTATTAAGGCCTGTGAATACTAATCTTACTATTTATGTTACATACTATGCTGAGAATTCTGTAGCATGTATACCCGTTACTGGGTAACAACCTCAAAACAAACAACTAAACAATATCTGTTGTGAGTAAACACATTTTTAATATGCAGCCATTACTGAGTAATGACTTCACAAACAAAGATGTTCCCACAGAAACAGTTTGAGTACGATAATGGTATTTTCTGCGTGGTCCATGCCAGGATGTTATAAGGAGGACAGTTTGAGCAAGAGAAAGTTGTAAGAGAGTCTGGGAAGAGGAGACTTAGGTGGTGCAGTTGAGAGTCTGTGGGCAACGAAGTGATCCTGGAAGCTGAAGAATCCCCATTGTTAAGATCTGTTACCAAAAAACAACTAGCAAAAGCAGACTGAGTAAACTTAGCATGTGCTTTAGTGATTTGCAAAGTGTGGAAATCAGCACTGGTGCTATTATTAAGTGTAGATACGAATCGTGCTAAAGTGGTCATTAAATCCAATTTCCAATCCAAACCCTGCTTATAGTCACATCCTCCGCATGGCAACTAGTGTCAGAAGTGGTTGGATTGGAAGCTGCATTGGATCTTGATTGTTATAGGGCCATACTACAAAGATGAAACAAACAATGGAACGAATATTGACAAGGATGGATTCATTTCAAGAAGAAATGAAAACCAACCAGGCAAAAGTGGACACAACTCTAAAGGAAATGAAAGAAGAATTGACAGCAAGGTTGAAAACCAAGATCAAAATAGAAATAAAAACCAGTAATGAGAAGTTTGAGGTCCTTTGAGGTAGTCTCATCTCCCAAATGGATATCCACTAAGCCAGGACAGACACCATTCAAGAAGAAATAATAGCCCAGATGGACACCCATCAGGAAAGGGTGGGACCCAGTGCGTGTGCTTGGTGAAAAGAGACGACAGCCTGCCAAGAAGCAACCGAGGCCTGTCTGAGAGTAAGGAGCCAACCTCAATGGAAATAGAATACATAGCAGCGCATGAGGAAGTCCCTAAAGAAGAAACCTCAGTGACAGCTATCAGAGCACTGAAGGAATGTATGGGGATCAGACTCTAGCCATAGGGTGCCACCAATAGCCAAAGAAATGGACCCAGGGCAATGGTGCGTCCTGGAAGAAAATGGCCTGCAGATTTATGACCCGCTGTGCAGGAGCAGCTCGGCATATGGGATGCCATCATAAAGGACTGATGGTCAAACAAAGATGATGGAAAAATCAGACCAGGGGCAGTGTTTTTTTTATTGCTACTGGTGTGGGACTAAGTCCCTTGTACTGCGGCCACTTCTGGCCTATTGTACCAGCCCCAGATGATAGGTGAGGGTGATTGTAGAGCAATTGGTGGAATGAAGATTGGCAGGGGAAACTGAAGTACTCAGAGAAAACCTGCCCCAGTGCCAATTTGTCCACAAATCCCACTTGACCAGACCCGGGATCAAACCCAGGCTGCTGCGGTGGAAGCCAGCAACTAACCGCTTGAGCTATGGTGCAGTCCAGGGACCGTGTTGCAAGAGGGACCTCGAAATCATGTGTTTTCAGGAACAGACATCAGATGCAACTAGAATGCAGCAGCAGCGTAAGGTACTGAGGCCTAAAAGAGTGATTATATCTGGGAAGCTGGAGATCAAAAAGCAAACAGTTGGGATTACCCTTACACTGCAGAAAATGAATGTCAAGACATTGTGGAGGGACCAGCCCCCTCTGAAATGAAAAAAGAGACCACTAACAACAGATTAAGAGCATTGACCACTCTCAGAACTTTCCCTCACTAGTTGGTAAAGAAGAATGATGGTGATAAACTTCAATCAAATGGCACCTTATCAGAGAGCTGCTATGGACGAGAACTGAGCCTCAAGGGAGAAAGGTGAGACCAATCACGGACAAGTAACACTTTTGCAAACAAACATGTTCCTACAGAAATGATTGGAGTACAATAGTGAACAGTGTTTTCTAAGCAGTCTGTGCCGAGATGTTATAAGGACAATTGAAGCAAGAGAAAATCGTTAAGGGAGTCTAGGAAGAGAAGACTTAGTCATTGCAGTTGAGAGCCACCAGGCAATGAAGTGAGCGTGGAAGGTGAAGAATCTCCGGTGTTAGAAGCCATTACCAAGTACTGACTGGTGAACACAAGCAGGCTGAAGAGACTTAGCATGTGCTGTAGAGATTTGTACGGTGTGGAGATAGTGATGGCACTATAATTAAGTGTAGTTATATGTCATGAATTAAAGTGGTCTATAAATCAAATCTCCAATCCAAATACCTTCTGTAGTCACTCAAAATCATGGCAATATGTTCAAAGGTTTTTGGAGAAACTGGTGCTTTATAAGATTTTGTAATATGTTGCAACTATTTTGTGTTATTTAATAAAATATTTTAACATTTTTGTATTGATATTAAAACAGTTTTAATGTTTCTGCTGTGCCAGACTGTGAAGTTTAAATGTATTACAAGTTCATTCATATTTGAAATTCAGTTATTTTTAAAACTCTTAAAACTTGGTCTTTTATTCCATATGTAACCATTGTGTGTCCAATTTACTTTTGTAGCCATTGTATGTCCAGTATACTTTTATTATGTCTACTAAGTAGCATTGAGTGTCTTTTGGACACAGCAATACAAAAAGGATGGGCATAGTTATAGTGTATACCAGTTCACCATTTGTTGCAGCACTATTGCCATAAGAGTAATATATTCTGAATGTTAGATGAATTTAAATTATTTAGTATAACAATGTCCTAGCCCATATCAAACACTACATCCTGCTGCTGATTCTGCCATCTTTGTTATTGGGTGGAGAATCTATTACTCATAGTATGATTTCATGAGTACGAAGTACACATGTTGACCTTGACATTCACTTTTGATTTTTGGATGGATTTGACCTCTGCCTCTTTCTCCTGGTCTGAATTTCATTATCATTTTCAGGACTAAAGAAAAGGCAGACAAGATATTCTAGATGTGGTTTATACAATGGTCATGAGTTTGTATTTACTGAGAGTGACTGGGAGATAATAACCCTTGCTAAGTTAGCCTGGAGATATGGCTATAGCATAATAAAATTGCAGAACTATATTGGTGACATGCTGAAGAAATTTGAAAGGTGAGTTCAGCACCTGGCTTGTGTGTTGGAAGAATTATTGGAACACAAAACAGTCTGTTACAAATATTGTTAATTTAACTTTATACTATGACCACATGATTCTGCAACTATATATTTTATGTGATAGTACTACCACAGAATTCTTAATTTACTTACTTTATGTGATGGAACTACCACATGATTCTGAATGTAATGATTTTATATGATAGCCTGACCACATGATTCTGAACCTACAAGTAGAGTCCACATCCTAGGCCACTGTTTCCCATAGTAGGGGCTGAGACTTGCAGGACACTATGAAGCTGACTTCCAGGTAAAGATAAAGTGGAGCACTATGCCATGAAAATTAACGGGGGGAATGGATATGNCCTGACCACATGATTCTGAACCTACAAGTAGAGTCCACATCCTAGGCCACTGTTTCCCATAGTAGGGGCTGAGACTTGCAGGACACTATGAAGCTGATACCCATTGAATAGGAGGCTGGGTGGGTCCCAGAGNCCGGGGAAAGAGCCCCCAGTACCCATTGAATAGGAGGCTGGGTGGGTCCCAGAACCAGTCTGGACAGCATGTAGAAGACAAAACTCAACTCGACGCCGCTTGCCACACTGATTCAAGAAGGATGTGTGAGGAGACACCTAGCGGTATTTTGATGTACTCATAACCATTCACGCGCAAAATTCAAATTTCTGAAACTTTTGGATTGCCCCACGTATATACCAATTGCAAGAGTTTTACAGTTCAGATACAGAGAAATATTAGTACTGTTTCTGCACTTAACTTTTCTTGGATCTTAATGTTTTCCCTTAAATTTTGGTTGAGATACAGTTTAGTAATTTCACTTCAAACCTGTGTGGAACATAGTAAGTTGTAACATACCATCTACAATTTGCAGAAAACACGTTTAGATTTGTATTAGAATGGTTTTCAACATATCTCAAAAGTGACGGTGCCCCTTAAGGATTCTCTTGTCCAATATTATTGAAATCAAATTACGTATCAATGCTGGACATAGTTTAACAGTTTAAAATAAAAGACAATAGAAATTATACCTTGTGATTTCTCTCAAATTCGGTTTGACATTCAGAGTATCATGTTCCAGGCCAGAGGCAGAGTTCAACAATTTTAAAATTAAAAACATGAAGTTAGGCTTTCTGCTTTCATACATTGAAGTGTGTATCCACCAAAGATGATTCTGTGTTGAACTCAGTTTGACATTCAGAATATCATGTTCTGTCATAATGCATTCGACTGACTGAGCAGCTTGGTGTATTAGGAACCTGAATTCTGGGTCATTTGGGACACCAGCCGTTCTGAGGTTTATTGTGGTTTTCCTCAATTTCTCCAGGAAACTGCCAGGATACTACCTCAAATAAGCACACTTCTACCTTCCAGATCCTTTCAATTCATTATTCACTGATCAACCTATCCTTTAACACTATTTTAGGCTGAGCTACAGACATCATAGTAAAATGAGCAACAAAAAAGAAACTAAAACCACCAAGTTTGACAATATCAGAATTTAAAAAGGAATTGAAATTGAGTCTGTATTTCCTCAAAGAGGATCCTTTTGTCGCTCTCAGTCTGGCATTCAGAATATCATGTTCCACTCCATTATCACACAAGTATCTAGTTGTAAAACTGAAAACAAATAATAACAAATTCAACCTGGTGATTCTTTGTGTGTTAAGGTAAATATTACTCAGAGTATCAACTGCTGAATGCCATGCAATTGAATTGAGTTCAGCATTTTATAATTAAAGGCCATAATTAGATTGGATCCAGAGATTTTTGTGTATTAAAATGAATACCTGTTGAATTTCATCCATTAGAATACCATGTTCAAGACCAGTACTACAATATGTTGAGTACAAGTCTTAAAATTTAGAAAGAAGTCCAAGAAAACCACGAGGAATTGAAATTGAATGGAACGTATATGAATATGACCTTATGATCTGTGGCGATGTTAATTTATTAGGGAAAGTGTAAATACTGTAAAGGAAAACACATAATTTGTATTAGGTGCCAGTAACATAGTTTGTTTAGAAGTGAATGCAGAGAAAATTGCTCATGTCTCATCACCAGAATGTAAAACAAAATCAACATAAAGATAGGGAATAAATCCTTAAAAAAAATGTTAATGGAAATCAAACAGCTCTGACAAAAATTACATTAATGAAGAAATTCAAAGCACATTAAATGTGCAGAATCTGTTACTTCCCACCTGTTTGAAAATGTACAAATCAAACTTTTACCTCTTTTTTTGTATGTTTGTGAAACTTGGTATCTCGCATAACAGGAAGAATATAGACTGAGGGTGTTGGAGAGTAGGGTGCTGAGATTTGACCTATGCAAGGGGAAGTAATGGGAGGCTGGAGAAAATTGCACAGTAAGCTTCATAATTTGTAGTTATCACCAAATATTATTGGGATAATCTCACAGATAAGATGGGGAGGACATGTAGCACGAATGGGAGCATTAGAAATACCGTCAGAAGACCCAAAAGGAAGAGACCACTTGGATGTCCTGGGCATAGATGGAAGGGGTATTAGAGTGAATTCTGGATTCATTTACCTCAGAAGAGGGACCAGTGCCAAACAGATTGGTTTAGAGGTAGCACTCTAGACTAGCATTGTGGGGTTGCATGGTTCAAATCTTGGCCAGGACAACAGCTATCCTGATTTAAGGATTTCGTGGTTTTCTTCAGTCCATCCAGGCAAATTCCAGGATATTACCTCAATTAGGTTATGACAGCTTCCTTCCAAATCCTTTCTACTTCATCATTCGTGTATCATTCTACTGTCCGATGCTGTATAGCCTTGATACTGAAAGTGTCGTTAAGTTACACATGAAAGAAAAAATAGTGACCAGTAGCTGTTCAATGTTAAGCACAGTGATGAACCTTCACAGTTCATAAAGTTTGTATAATTTCTTGACTAGTTCATCAGCTATTAGTTCCTTGAGAGACTACATGGAGTTGGTTGGTTAGTAAAGATGTCAGCAGTCCAGTTTCACATGGACACCATGCTAGTTATTTTACATTGTTTGCAAGCCATACCTTATTATTTCTTCTCCATAAAAGATTTATCAGTATAAAATATTTCAGAATACTGTGTTGAATAGTGTGACTAATCCTCTCACCCAACGTTGATACATCTGTGTTTTTAATCTTATTCATTCATTCATTCATTCATTTATTTATAGTTCCAAAAAATCCATAGATCTGCCTCAGATAGATATAGAACAAGTC